GGCGTTGCTGTCTTTTCACACTCTTAGGGACATTTGATCATTTATTAACCGAAAAAGAAGTATTACTTCTTACTTAACAAAAATGTCATCTGTAGTAGGATTGTTAGGAAAATAATAAGTTTATAGGCAGGCCGGTTACGGCTATAATTTGTACATTTTTTTGAACTTTATATTCTCATAAAGTGATATATTTTCAGAAAGTAATATCCGGAACTGCACTCCGCCAGCGATAGACGACTTCCCTTCTGGCCTGTTTACAGAACTTCAAAGGCAACATGGAGCTATCGTTATCCACGCACTTATATCCATATATTTATTCCTGGCACTAGCCGTAGTGTGCGAAAAATTTTTTGTGCCAGCCGTGGATAGAATATGCACTGGTAAGAATTCAAGGGGCTACATAACCAAATGGGGGTTTGTCACCGTCCTAGGACTAAGAGTATACGTATAAGTTAAAAATATCATTCATGGCATAAATACTGTGTAAGATGTAAATTAATATTGTTTACTAATTACTACGTTTTAGCTTTGAATATGACCAACGACGTAGCCGGTGCCACATTCATGGCGGCCGCAACTTCAGCCCCGGAGCTCTTCGTAAACGTGATAGGCACGTTCATCACAGAAGGAGACATCGGAGTTGGTACTATCGTTGGATCTGCCGTCTTTAACATCCTGGCCGTTGCAGCTTGCTGCGGTATAGGTGCAGGAATGGTAATCATTTTTTTATTATTCGTATTGATATTTTCTTTTAGATTGTAGGTACGTAACTTTTGATTGCTTACTTTTACTGTATGCCAAAAAAATACTACTTGTACTGTACTAACTGCGTTATTCATTTGTGTAATTTTTCTATAAATTACAGGTGGTACCATTAGATTGGTGGCCCTTAACAAGAGATTGTTTAGCTTACGGTATCACAGTTTCAATACTTATCTGTATCATGCACGATGAGTACGTAATGTGGTACGAAGCTTTTCTACTCGTACTTTTGTATGGAGTTTATATCTGCATAATGTACTACGACAAATCCATACAGAATTTTGCTAAAAGTAAGATATAAAAATTCGTTTATTAATTCTCGAGTTCATGATGCGCATGGTACATATTTTTAACAACTTAACGATTGAAATATTTTTACAGAAAGTTGGAAATGCGTATCAAATATGATTAAAACAGACGAAGAAAAAGAAGACAATGCTCAAGTTGAGATAGGTTTGTTAATCTAAATTTATATCTTTACAGCCACAAAATTACATGATTTTAAAGAAACGTATTTTTTTCAGATGGAAAGGATAAGTCCAGTAACAAGTGCGACAACATTGATCATCATCAACATAATGGAAACATTAAAGCTGGGGCAATAATTGCTGAGATTGGAGATAAAGAAAAAATAAGCAAAGAACAAGAGGTCAAGACAAATGAAGATACAAGCGTCAATGTGGTTGATTTGGAAATTGTTCACTCAGATGAAGTTAATCAAAATGTTGACACTAATAAGGAAGTGCTAGATGAATATGAGCATTCGCTTTGGAAGTGGCCGACCGGTAGAAGTAAACTTACAAAGGTAAATTGAAGCTAAGACCATTTAAATTTTCCATACAATGACGGTTCATACTCCGTTCGGCGGAAGCAGTTCTGAGCGTAAAGTATTAATCATATATGATCAAGAAAATTTAGAACCAATTTTAACGATTGTTGAAAAACTGTTTTTGAACATCGAAATTTTGTATTTAGAGCAGCAACGGCATACATTTGTATTTTATACTTTGATTGATTTCAGGCAACTTGGATCATTACCTGGCCCATTCATTTAGTATTTCTATTTACGATTCCTGATTGCGAAAAACCAAAATTCAAGAATTGGTTTCCTTTGACATTCCTTATGTGTATAGTTTGGATCGGATCTCTTTCATATATCGTCGCTTGGATGATTACTATTATCGGTACGTAGTTGAACCTCTGTGGCTGCAGTACTGTTAATATTTTTTTATATATTTTCTTTTTGGAGTCAACCCTAAACGGTGGTTTTAAATGCCGTATTGATCAGATTACATACAATATAGATACAGACCAGTAGCACTGTCAAGCTTTAGGTTTCTTTTAATAACACCGACACACAAAGTTTTTATTGATTGCTCTTTGACAAGAAAAATAAATTAATATTTGGTGCAGCAGTAGAATACCATAATTTAATCAGAAATTAACTCATTATATTTTCAGGGGACACCCTAATGATACCAGATTCAGTGATGGGGATAACATTTTTAGCCGCCGGTACTTCAGTTCCAGAAGCAGTTTCTAGCGTTATAGTAGCTAAACAAGGTTCAGGACGCTTTTTATATTGTTCCTTTACTACGCATTCTCAATTTACGTTCTCAATTTAAGAATACTTCTTCCGCTTATTCAAGTGGAAGGATATTGCAGTTTAACAATTCGTAGAAATGACCACTTTTGAAACGATCATGCAATTGTAGGTTTATAGCCAAAACATATCAAAAATATTTATCATATTTTCTATGGCAAAAATCGAGACTTATTTGTTAAATAAAATCCTACACGTTTGATAACCGCTGCCAACGTTATTGAATATAATATGTATTTATTTCATTTAGGACACGGATCAATGGGAATCAGCAATTCAATTGGATCAAATACGTTCGACATCCTATTATGTCTTGGTCTGCCTTGGCTCATAAAGGCGTCCCTGACACCAGCAGAACCTGGAAATTACTGGGTTAGACTTTTTTCCTGTTGTATTGTTTAACAAATGCGATTTTTTTTAATGCCTTGCGATTGTTGCGCTGCAGTGCGAAATTGGGCCTACAGCCTTATGATAACCTTTCATTTTCCTTTCGTTATCTGTTATTAATTATTATTATATATAAAATAGAAATATATATTGCAAGCAAATTCAGAGATTTTCACACACTAAAAGATTAGGTGGTGTTAAAGCGAATAGTTCATTTATAGTCAATGTAACAACACACTTGTTTTAATAGGTGAAGATAAACTCCATGGGATTGGAATACTCGGCGATATCGCTATTGTCAACTCTTCTACTGTTGTATTTGACGTTTTGGTTCAACAAGTTCAAGCTGGACAGGGCCGTGGGGCGAGCGTGCCTGGGAATGTACGCGATGTTTCTGGTTCTGGCAACTTTGATTGAGTTAAACGTATTCTTCCCTGTAAATGTGCGCACTTGCAGGAGAAGTGAATTAAAATCTTAACTATTAAAAGAACTTTATGGATAAATCGCTTGACCAGTGTGAAGTGTATTACTTGGGTTGTCAACTAGTAGTAGCGCTTGTTGTTGATTTTTATACGTTCACAGTAAAATTAATTTAACATCAAAGATTTATAAAAGCATTAGATATATTATATGTTACTGCTTAATATATTTTAAGAATTTCTAAATTAATTGGCAACCCTAGTATTCATGTAAAATAACGACTGTATTCGATTTCTTTAGAAGTCACCTCCACTTGGTGCTACATAAGTGAGGTCCCTCAAAGCTGTTTTTAATAAATTCTTGATCCCAAAAAAGGTGTTTACTTTATGTAACATTTTTGTTGTTTCCAATTTCTTTAGAAATGAAAAAAAAGAGATTGAAGCGACTTTATGTTAGCCATTGAATCTATTTCGGTGTTATGAATAAAAATTATATACTACTTACTATACGCGATTTACTCCTTTCGTGAAGTTTTAGTTAAGAAAACATCTTAGACCTCATCTGTATAATATTAAAATAGTAAATATTGATATAATAGACCATTCTATTTAAATACGTGTCTATTTTTAAGTAAGTATATATAAATTAGGTACCATTTTAGATAACCATTTAAATTCATAGAAAAGGTTTTGATTGCACATTTAACTGTTTATCATAGTTTGGCTACATCTACTTTTGTACATCTGTATGTTGTTTCTAGATAAAAAAAACATAAACAGTTACAGAGATATTACGAAAATACGCCAACAAAAATAGTTTATATCAATTAATTAGTCAAACGATTTGTCGTATACTTATACATTTGTAGTATACTTTTTACAACACCAATTACTATATTGGTAATATATATCCATTTAGTGGTAAAGATAAATAACAAAATACAGTATAATGTGTATTGTAAAAATAATATGGATATCTCTGAAACTAAGTCGATGTTGGAGAGATGTTTTTTACTGACGCAAACCTTATTTTGCCTTGGTCCAATGTTCTTTTAATATATTATGTAAGAGAATGTTCGCTAAGATTAGATTGGCATTTAAATTGGTATTCAAGATATTAAAATTAGTTGCGATAATTAATGTACCTTGGAAATATTATCATTTTACTAAACCTGATTTTTATATTTTAACTGTGAATATTTAAGTTTTGTAAATAAAATGTCATTTGTTCTTATTATATTGCAGATTTGACTATTAAATAAATATATAGACATGTTCAAATTTTTTTATTAGATTTCTACAAACGTACCTACAAATGTAATATAAAACTGTTTCTTTGTTAATAATTTTTCTTAATAAAGTTTAATATGTCTTCCTACTATCCGCATTTAAGACTGAGATAAAACTTTTATGCCGTTTGGTGCTTTGCATTTGAAGTAAGAAATTATTCCGCTGGATATAAAGTCGGTTAGCCTATAACGGTGTATTGTTCTCAGTGAGGTAGCCCAAACATTACTAATAATATGATATTACCAATTTATTTTTACTGTTCATCATTATCAGATAAAGATCTTAATAAATCTTTCTTTTTCATATAAAAATCCATTAAAACTTTACAACACCAGAAATATACTAACAATACTTAAGTAATAATAGAATACACACGCAGACACATTTATCTACATCGGCCAGTATTAGCTTTACAACATACAATTTATTTACATACTCTTTTTTTTATTTCTTAAACTTACTTTATCATTTGAGGTAAACTCAGTTTTCAAATTAATTTAAGGATAAAAGAGTCTAAAGATAAAAATGACGCTAAGAAGTTATTGTCCAAGGGTTGATTTTTGCTTTTGTAAATCATCGACGCCACCGCGTTTTTCTTTCTGGAATATAAACATTCTAGATTTAATAATTATAGATAATGTAGGAAACAAAAAGAGAAAGTAATTAACACTTTGTCAGTTGTCATATTTTAAGGACCCAGTGTCTAAACAAAATCTTAAAGAGAAAAAACAACTTCAATGCTGTTATAATAAACTATATAGATAAATAAACTGACCATGAAAACAGCTTGTGCACACAACTCCTCCATTTCTCTGGCGTGTAGCTCTATATCATGTTGGGTAAGCCTCGGTTTGATACATTGAGGGCTTTGCAGTGGCAAAAAGCGATGAATCACTGGCGTTAAAAGATCTCTATGGACCTGTAAATAGCATTACGAGTTCACTGTTAATGGAGAAAAGTTTTTAACTCAGAGGCTCTTTCAAACAATGTCAATATATTGAACCTTAACTAATAATACTTACCATAGCAGGCTCGTTTGGCTCAGTGAAGAACGACACAATGGTCCCAGTGGTGACACACACCAACATTCCAATTAAAGTATAGTAGAAATAACTTATCCTATACAAGAAAAATGTTCCCGATCTGCAAAACATAACTTTTTTTAAAAGCTTATTCTAAGGTAATTGTTCTACAAAGGCACTCAGCCTTTTATAGGGAGTAATCTAAATCGAAAAATTTGTATCAAAGTCAGGTTCGCATTTAAACTCTGGGTACCACAAGAGCTTTAAAAAGCGCTGCCACAGCACAGGTGTTTAGGAAAAAGGTTCGAAAAGCAATATTCTTTATTTTAAATTAGTAAAATTATTATTTTTATTGTTATTATATAACATTTACTTCGAAATCATACTTTCGATACTAATGAAGATTCAATAATTCTGTTTTTTGTCTTCCATGTCTACCCTACGTCTGGGCTAGGCACGAGGGTAGAGCAGACAAAAACAATTTTAGTGTAAATAAAAGATAAAATACCTGTCAAACTCAATACTAGTTTGTGAAGTGATCGTGGGAATGGTAATATTTCCGGGACATCCGGCCACACTGACTGGCTTAGGAATGAAAACGATGTCACCTCGTAACATCGCCGCCTGTGTTCCAAGTGACATCCAACCAACCAGGAGAGTGGATGTGGTGCCTCCTGCTAGTGCACCCTGGTTGTATAAAGAAAGCCTATGTATTTATATACACCTTACCTTATTAGCATGCTCAAAGAGAACATCTTGTTTAAATATTTTACGAGATTATTATTTGTTTATATTATTTTTTGTCCTCAACATCTCAATCGTCGTCATTTGTTTTAAATTTAAAAAATCCCATTGTAATTTACCGACAATCGCATAAGTTTATACTTATTTCATGGGTATTTTAAGTTAACTTATGTTTAATTACAGTGGCATTAATCCAAGGCATAAAGAGGCCCATCGTAAAAAGACCGAGCAGGCTTCCTGCCGTGATGCCGGCAAGACTTTTCCCCGCCTGGATGAGAGCGCCCATGTGCTCCACAAGTAATACTAAAGCCACACACACTGCTCCTGAAAAGCAAAAAGTTGATAAAACTTCATTTTCTACCTTTTTAATTTCATTCATAAAGTTATAATAGTTCTTAAACTATTTGTTTGTGCAAATTATAGAGTTTTGAGTAGACAAACGCTCTTTTGCCTCTCTCTCTTTCTCTGAAGTCAAGGCAAAAACGTGTAATTGACAATCAATTAGAAACTATCAAAGTATAGGCCTAGTGATAAGATATAATTGAGCTAAATTGCCAAGACGATACGCGTGTGAGTCAGCAAAATTTACTATTTTTAACAGACCCTCGGACTTGCTTGAAATAAAACCTTTTTCTATGGATTTAGCCTATTATTATCGTGCTTAGGCTTGTTACTTACCTATGATAACAACAATTATTTTCATAATAAAACTTGCAGTTTTTTCCGAAATCGGTTTGTTATACGCCGGTCTGATGAGGTCTTCAAATATGACACCACACATGGAATTGAGACCGGTCGACATTGTACTGGAATAATTTTCAAAATAATATTCAATAAAATACGAAACCTTCGCATCAGACGAAAGAAAATGAGTTTACTCTGCTAATTAATTAATTAGCGATTTCTAACACAATATAGCGCACACGCTTTAAATTGGAGAACCAAAATTTAATGAAATTAATTAATAATAGATAAAAAGTTAGATAATAGAAGCCATGCAGCCGGACCGGATGATTGAGATGCCGTGTCTTTCTGTACGAATCTTCCAGTACCTGATCACTTGTCTGTGAAATCTTATTGGGTATGAAACGATAACATTTTCTTACATACTCGTGTGTTATGAACTTACTGTCTGCTACATTGTGTATCAAAGGCATGTAATAAATTATGAACCAATGAATATTAATAACGAATGATATTTAACCTCAAGGCTGCACTGAACACGCCACTCATGAAGATCCCGGGAAGGGCAGGAATTGATCCAGTGATGGTCATCACCAAGTAGGGGAGGAGCTGGTCACTCTTGCGGATAGCGCCAGTTGTCAGAGGGTCACAAGAGGCAAAGGTAGCATACACTACGAGACCCGTGTAGCAGCAGAGGGAGACGATCACGTAAATACCCACCGCCATTATCAGGATCGTTCTAGAATACAACAATAATACACGCTCCACATTATTCCTCTCGTTCCATTCATGTTTTTATGGGGGCGCTTGCGTGCTCGCGTCTTCTTGTTTGATATTTTTACAAGTAACTAGTTATTGCGAGCAAGTTATAGAAATATCAGTAGGTACTATAAAGTTTAATATTCTTATTTTAGTTATTACAAAATTGTTAAGATTATAAGATCATAAGGCTCTCTTCAGAGGCGTAACTATACCATCTGGGGCCCGTGGCAAATTCTTTTGATGGGGCCCTATCAGTAAAAATCGTCACTTTGTACTCAGTTTAATTTTAATAAACTTCGAGATTTTCAGCGTACTCAATTACATGTTGTATATGTCCCACTAATGGCCATAGGCCTCCTCTCTTAGGCGAGAGGGAATGGTCTGTAGTCCCTACGCTAGCCCAATACGTATTGGAGACTCACATTCATCCATAGAACATAATATCTCAACGCATTCATCATCTAGCTAGCTTTTCGGTGAAGGAACAACATCGGGAGGAAACCTACATACATTTTTTCATTTACAATGAAATAAAAATAACAATTTAATGTCAATAAGATATTAATAAAAATCTTTTTTCGAGCTTTCTGTTCCGCAAAAGTGTCTATAACATAATCTATACGATAACGGTTAAGTTCACACATTTGTTAAATTTTTGAAATATCTTGAGTTGTATCGAATATGATAGAGTAGAATGGTGCGGCTTTTATTTCATTTCATGAGTGCATTTTCTACTTTTAGGACCAGGACAGAAATTAGCTCATTTTGTATTTTTGGACTTAAGTATTTTATCTGGCCCTTTGGTTTGTTAAGTAATTCTTGTAAAATCGGGTCGTATTTTCCTAATATCTCAACAATACTCAAAAAGTTTTCTATAGAGCTTGGATCACTGATATTCGATCGTTTCCTCTGTGGCCACAACAGGCTAAATTACATGTTGATAGTGTCAGAGTAACGTTAAGGAACCTAGAAAGTACTTGGCGCCAAAAAGATTTTTCTTTTGATCATAGACACTTGCTTCATCGAGTGTTCCATATAGCTGCTACTGTTGATACGTAAGACAGGAATCCAGATGAATTTTTGATGTCCGGTATCTTTGTATGGCATCTACAATAATTATGTTTCCAGTCGTCATAGCCCTCAATCTGCGATTGCGATTTGCGATTAACCACACGATTTACAATACAAATATTTTCTAGAACTAGACATTTCAATATCTAACTTTTACAATCAACTTTACTTCGCCACCATTTTCATATTCAATAAACGAACAAATACGAAAAATCAAAGATACAAATCACCAATTGTCAAAATAATCACACAAACAATACACAGTCAGTAGAGCCCTAATAAAAAAAACAACGGGAGCACTCCGGGAGTGCCGGCAGAAGTGAAAACTTCAATATTAACGTTGTGTTTAATTATAAGTATAAAAGTACTATCATTTATGAGGTAGAATACAATGTTTATTTATTGCGCTATCGTACACAAATATGACAATTTATATGTTGTTATTTATAATATTATATCGTTATTTATATATTACATTAAATTTTATCTCTCAGAAAAATCAACTTCCATCCATAATTTCGACGACTTTTACACCATCGTTATTATCAGAATCATCATCGCAAATTTTTACAACTGATACAATTGGTTTATGATAACTGAAGTAAGAAACAAACAGTTTTGATTCGAACCTATTTAAGTGTCTAATAAAGACCGCATCAATAGTAGTTTTGTATTTCGTTCTGCTAAAATTGCGATCATTTGACATAGTTAAACCAAATTCATTATTTAAAAATTCAATTAATGATTGATTTTTATCGTCTGCAAAGTTTATATTGAAATCTCCCTTGCCCTTGCGACACAAACACTACACAAACACTCCAACACTTAATGGAGGAATGCCCACGCTTTCAACCTTTATATAATGTAAATGTAAAAATAATTATCTGTACAATACCTGTTATCGTCGCTTAGCTAACAATACCGCATAAGTCAGATTTGCTTAGTTTTCAGGAGAGACAAAAAACTGTATTACTTTAACATTTTGTACAATACATGCATGATAAAATTTTTAATATATTGTATTTAGTTAAGCATGATAACTATAAAAACAAATAAAAGAAATATCGTCTTATTAGGTAATTGCAAGACTTGAGCAGTTTTACTCTAACAAAATAAAGACTTACGCGGTGTTTTTACCTTTTATTTTTAAGCTCTATAAGTCTTTCATAGAAAATCTTTCTATGAAAAACTATCGAAATAAAAACATTTTTCAAAAACAGTTTTATAAAACTAATTATTAACTTCAATAAAATAAAAAAAGATTGCTAAATTAGCTTTTTATAAAAAAAAAACACATTTCTTTGCCGTTTTATTTTCTTATTCCAACAGGACAACCCTTGCCGGGTTCGCTAATATTATAATATATTATAGGAACTCACTGACTTTTACGACTGTACTGTTTGACGAGATCAACTACTTACCTACTGAGATCAATAAAATTATCTAAGTTACAATGGAAACCAGAGGTGGTTTGCTTTGTAATTTAGGTAATTTTTTTCCATGACTTCTAATAATTCTAAACTCTCAAAAACTTTAATAAAAATGGTACATTTAACACAAACAATACAAGACAATAAAAACACTTCGAATACTTAACCTACTTCTAAAAATAATACAAAATGTTTATGGATCTAATAATGAAAAATATTTAATTTTTATAAGGTAACTCATCATAATATGCGTGGCAGTTCGAAGGTATCACTGCCTTTAAATCTTGGAGATCCTTATATTTTCTTTGGGAAATTAGCAGTCTTTCAGAAAATAATTTCGGCAGCTCTTCTAAAGGTTTTACATTGGTAATTTTCATTGGACACTGAGGCAACGGCTGCAAAGGTTCGTCAAAGTTTAAGCTATACCAAATAGTTCCATCTGGTTTATATTTTAATAACCCTTAAATCGGTAATAGTGGGATCTCCGAATTTTCTGCCCGGACGAATGGTTTTGTAAATTAAATCCTTACTGAAATTGTGAAAAATATATTACCGGTAGTAATTTTCTATTTAAAATTATCTGTAGTTGATCCACAATGCACGATGCGAAAACGGAAGCTTCAAGGGAGCCATTTGATTCATCGAACCAGTAGCAGCAAGCTTCACGTGTTGACAAATTGTACATGGTAAAATTGTGAACAGATAAAATGTCTTGTAGTATATGGCACTAGCCTGAAGGTGGGGAGCTAATTTTACTGATTGAACATCTTGCGTAAATACATGACACGTTTTTCCTTCTATTGCCAATTTTTTGTCAGTGTCTTTTCTTTTCTAGCTTTGTCTTTCCTATCGCGATGTATTGCAATTTCAGTATCGTTTATATTTCCAACTTTATGACCTCAGCATACATCGCATTGATCTTTTTTGGGATGAAACAAACTAAGATTCTGTTTTAAGAATACATTGTCAAAAACCCTACGACTAAGACATTTTAAGGAATCTGATTCGCATTTACTGACGTATTCTTTGTATAATTGTGCCATGGTATGAAATACTGGTTCTAGGTATTGTCTGGATAAGTTAGCTCGACAGTAGACGATGGCATCTTCGGCAGGCTATCTAAAAATTGCTGTAGACGCTCGTGACCATCAGAGTTCTTTTTGAAGCAATTTACATTCCGAGAAATCTCAGAAGGCGGTGGCATAGCACAATCTGTCGTTATCAACCAGTATCGGACAAACCATTCTTTAATACCCAATGTATTTAATAACATTTTTTCTCTATGTCTCTTTTGTAAGTCACGTAAAGTAATAACTTTACATTGAGCATCAACTCTTGAAAAGTCATCAGGCGTGGTATCATTATCGACCATTTTGTCCATTTTCGTGTTCTGAAGTAAAATATAATATAATTACGATATAGTAATCATTAAAAAAACTGCGTAAAAATCGCTAATTATATCGATGGATACCGCAGCAGTCAGAAACTTAACACAGAAGTACAGTGTAAGTCATTCAGACATCGAAACCAAGCAAAGAGAAAACCGCCTAACTCAACGAAACTGTTCATTCCAACACCGCTTAAGTATTCATGTTTTTAATTGCAATCGTATGACGTATTTTAATAGGTAAAATATGAATACTATGTTTTATTTAAGTTACCTTACCTTTAAACTACATCAGTGGGCCCAGTCCGTTACAAAACATCCGCTTTTTTAAAAACGACAAACGATCTTATAAGGTGCGACGTGGCACGGCCAAATTACTATGGCGTTATGATGACTTGCGCGGTGTTAGCGCAGCCAATGAGTTGTGTTGTGTTACTAGTTTTTGAATAACGCGCTCTTATTGGACGATATTACCTCTAGCGAGAGCTCATTAGACGCGCAGGAAAGTAATCTATCGAATGGTGTAAAAAACGTCATTTGGCTAAAATATGACTTGTGCGGTATTGTTAGCTAAGCGACGATATGCTCTTTATATCACTCTATTACTAGCTATAAATGTAATCAATCAATCAAACGCCTACAGAACTGTAATATTCAAATGCAGTAAAATACTAGCCATCTTCCACTTTTTATGATTAATATTTTAATAATTAAACTCAATTGAAGATCTGTCTGTCAAGCATTAATATCACATGCGGGCAATCTTAAATTTAATGTTAAACAATCTTTACCACCTAATGTTAATCCATTAAATTCACAATTTTTATATAATGTAAAGGTAAACTAGTTATCTGTACACCTTTTATATTAATTTAAGATTAGTTTTAAGACGCGGACTCTAATCGGGTGATTGAGGGAAGGAAATTGTATCAAATAGCAAAAACAACCCTCAATCACCCTACCCATGTCCAATCACAATGCTTATTGTGGTGTCATGAAAATGTAGGTTAATGCTATAAAGTATAAACATATTACAAATATTACATCTATTATGTGTCAATACAGACTAGATCGAAACCTAATCTTATTATTAAAATTATATTTATTACTATTATTATTATTAGTTTTTTTACGTTTTATAGTTCTCAGCTTATAGCTGGTTTTCTTGACGGCAGTTACGGGCTAAAGCCAAGTAAGAGTTTTTCATCTAGTAATTTATAAAGTACTTACTCATTTGCTTTCACTACTTCATCATCACTTTTTTCATTAATAGATTCACTTTGTTCGATTTCCATAATTTAAACAATTCACATTTACGAATACACAACAGTGTATTTACTACACAACAGTCAAGCAATCAGCTGTCACCATCCTTGGATACGCGTGGGACGCTGTACATAAACACACACGGTCATTCGCGCAAGCGCCCTGTGCCGCCTAAACAGAGCAGCACACTCAGGCACGGTAGAAAGAGTGGGAGATACTAGTTCCTCTCCCTTCCCCTCGATCTTACGCTTTTTCGATCAGCATCACGTGACCCTGACGCAAGTTTGAAAGTTTTTACCCATACAAAAAGTGCTCAGCGCCGCTAAAGAAGTTTTCACTTCAAAAATATCAATTCCGGTATTCCCCTAACATAGTGATTAGTGATGCTAGCTCGGCCCAGCAGCAGCGCCACGAAAAAAGTGAAAACAAAATGGGGAATTTCCCGATCGTCAATGCTCACCCGCGCTGCCAAATTACCACGACAAAATATGTAGAAACCCATGCATGCGTTCTAAAATGAATTACCGGTATTTTGACGGTCATAGGTTCGTAAAATGACTCGTCACGTGTAACGTGTACATCACATCATCTTTTTGTTTAGGTTGGTTGAAATGCTTAACAATTAACTTGAAATTGTATTATGGTCTTTAGTTGTCTCACTTTGAAATACAGGAACAATGTAAAAAAATATGTTTGAGCTCGCGGCCTCTCGGGTCGGGGCCCGTGGCATTTTGCCAGCCCTGCCACCCTATTGTTACGCCACTGGCCCTTAATCCGACCTTTTCACAAATCCCTTCCGTGATGAGTGTAAAACAGAGATTAGATGCATTTATAGAGATTATGAAAAGTGCATACATGCGTGCTTTCTTAAGCGAAGGAAGGGCGAGACATCTCTGCACCATGGCCTGGTTGACGGAGCAGGATGCTAGCCAACTGAAGTAGTTTCCAATAACTGTAGTCCAGAAGGTGTGTCGAATTGTTGGGTCCGGGTCCATACTGAAAGTCAATAATTGCTTGTAAACCACTAGTCCTCATGGCAAAGAAAAGGATTATTAGTGATACATTTTTAATTCATAAATTAAAGCTACGGACACAAATATCCTAAGAGAACAAAAGTCAATTAAAGGACTCTAAAACCCAATACTATATAAGTTTATTGTTTGAATAATGGTTATAAACGTTAAATATTTGTTACAAGCTATGACTAGATTAAAAAAGTTAACATTACCACTTACTTGAAGAATTCCAAACGATCTCCATCCTTATTGATCCTCATCACCTCTCCTACACCTCCTAATCGCCACGTCCCATATATCACGATGAAGATGACTCCAAAGTACATTAGTATTGTTTGTAGGGTATCCGTCCATACAACTGCTTTGATGCCGCCCTAAACATCCAAAATCAACGAGCATATTATTTAAAAAAAAATCAGTGGCGCTACAACCTCTTAAGGTCTTGGCCTCAGATATCTGAATCTGTTTCATGATCATTTTTAAATCTAATAGGCAAGTAGGTGATCAGCCTCCAGTGCCTGACACACGACGTTGACTTTTTGGGTCTAAGACATGTCGGTTTCCTCACGATGTTTTCCTTCACCGTTCGAGCAAAAGTTAAATGCGCACGTAGAAAGAAAGTCCATTGGTGCACAGCCGGGGTTCGAACCTACGACCTCAGGTATGAGAGTCGCACGCTGAAGCCACTAGGCCAACACTGCTCTTTATTATTTTTTTAAGAACGAGTATTATCAAGTGTTCTTTTTCTCCAGATTTTTTTCGTTTCACATATTGTTTGTTATTGTTTAAAATATGTTATGTTTATAACTAAAAGGGGCCTCAAATGTAACCTAATCAAACCTACATCTGCATTTTATATATTGCTACAAGGTTAGAAACAAAATACTGTTCTACAAAGACATATTTTGTCCGTGTAGAACGGACTGGCTGACTTTGGGTCGTTACTCCAGCAGACTAAGTAAGCCAGAACAGATAATGAAAAAGTAATAATCGCTCACCGCTATACTATAAACACTATACAAATAACTCTAAAAAAATAAGCTGTAACTAATTATTGTATGGAAATATTTATTAATTCGAAAAAAAGTATTTTTCTTTTAGAAACTAATCGTGGCTCGTACTTTTAGAAGATATCGTTCACAGATAAACCACTTGCTTCTACGTAGAAATATGTTTGTACCATGTCACATGTCCAACGAAGTTACTTCGTACTAATAAAATACGTACTTACACGACCCTAAGATAAGTATTGGACATAAGAGGTAATAATAATATAATAAGGATAATTGAGAAAGAGATTTCATTTGAAACTTACTATCAAATATATCTAATTCTAATCGGATTCTGAACGATGAAAGAGTTACTTAGCTTTTGATCTTAGCCCAAGAGTTATTTAACAAAAAAGTTACTTACTAAAGTAGTGTAGAAGATGCACACAAGACACACGATTGGTGTTATTAAGTGTAGATTAATACCCGTTACTGTAAAAAAATATTAGTTTATCATTATGAATTGCAAAGTAATTTAAATAGATAATTGTTAACATCATTAAAGTAAATATAGCGTTATGTCTAGCAACTATTAGACTTACCTTGATTAAAAGCAAGAGCTGGCACGTATATGACAATCGGTATGTAGAGTAACATTTTTATAATAAATATTATTGAACCCAACAACTGCACATTTTGGTTAAAGCGCAGACGCAAGTACTGGAAACAAACAATCGTCCCATCCATCATTAAACAATTTTGCCAATGAGCAGTGTTCTGTGTTACAATTACATTGAGATGAAAAATGAATAAAATACTTTATGCTTTATTTAGCCACGCCGGCACTTACCTCATAGGTAGACGTTATTTGTAGGTTATAGAAGACTGGTAAGTAGACGATTGCTATGGTTACTGACACTATCCACTCAGATAACACAATGGCCCAAAGTTGCGTGCCATAGGTATACATCTCTGCTGGCAGACCGAGTAATGATATGCCCGATATATAACTGAAAAAAAAAATATATATATATATATAATTATATAGTCAAAGTCATTAGTCAAAAATCATTTAATCATGGTAACACTTATGAACGTCAAAAGAAAATGTATATGAAATGCTTCTAACTTTACATTTAGTGCCAGTTCTCAAATCAAGGGCGTAGAACGGAAGAGAAGAACTGGCAATAATCTCTCCGCCACTCTTTTTAATCGCCATGTTTTTTTTTTTTATAAATATGGATACCAATGGATTTGGTCTAATGTAGCTTTAAGCTTTATTACAGTAATAGCGTATCCGCGAATTTACATTTACAGATAATGTAATATCGGGCCATTTTTTATGTATAAATTCCAATATCATATAGGGAAATAAATGTTTTTTTATATATAACACAACTTTTCTTATTCGGCTATTTATTTTACCTTAAGGAAGTGCAGTTTTACTATTTTAGCACATAGCATTCTGTTATATTCATTCGAGATAACAATTAGGTTAACTAATGTGTTTTTACATTTAAACAATTTAGCACGTCTTAAATATCTAAAAATACGATTCTATTATTAGCGAAGCCATGCTGTTTAGGTAGGCGGATTGAGCAACGTGATCAATTGTGGTCCCCACTCGGATGTCTCCACTAATAGCTCCTACAATTGTGTCTCAATTCCTCACACCGTCTACTTGCAACTACCACTACTCGCTTCGAGGCCAAACTGTACCTGAATTTAAAGGAAACTTTAGAATGCCCTGCTTGTTGCTACTACAACGAATCAGTTAAACATACGTTTATGATCAGTATATATATAGGTTTTGATACAATAATAGCCATATTATTATAAAATAATTCAACATACAACCAAACCGCGTGGTACGTTGGTGACTTAAATATTAAATTGTTATCTATGAAAGCGTTTGAACTAAAGTTTCAAAGATAAATAAGTAATGTCAGATTTCTGTGAATACTTGTTTGTAACAGTGATATAACCAGTGTATAATGCATACTGGTATAAAAACGTGTACAATTGTCACAAACGCTTTAACGGTCTCTATACGAACTTTGCAAGTGATATTTTATTGGACCGAAATAGCAAGCAAGCCAGGCAGAGAGAAGTGAAGGGGAAAGGATTTGCTAAAACAAGGCAATCGAAAGCGATGTCTCAAAATTAAGTCAGGTGTCGGAATAAACGCCTTCTGTTGCCTCGACGCATAACTTTAGTTACGAGTTCTATAAAAGTAAAATATGACGCTTTATACATTTAGTTCCCCTATACAGTCAAAAAAGTATGAAATATATATTTGGCTGCTTTCAACTGTATGCAACTAAAAGGGTTGATTAAGAAAATTTAATAATCATGTAAGTACGATTAGTTGTAATAAATGAAGCCAGCTTCTTTTCTTTCTAAAATGAGTAAGTAGCCTTAAAGTTATTTAATATAAGAATATTAAGTGCATTTTATTTCTTAATAATTATCATCCGAGCTTTTTTGATCCGCTAGATTTATCAGTGGACATGGTATTGGACGCGAATAAATCCAATCTTCGAGTTCTAGGTGTTTAAAGCATAAGTCAAGTCTAAGTCTTACCTAGCTATTAAGGACATGGATATAGGAAACATTCCCATAGTCTTCCCGCCCATTAGGTATTCGGATGTGGTATTCTGTTTCCGTTTAGCGAAGAAGGCAAAATATATACCGATGAATGCTGACAGGGCCAACATCGCGCCGAAAACAAGATAATCCAGCCAGTTAAAATATACCACATCCATGACTGAACGTGCTCGTGGCCACACAACGTTTGATACAACAGGCTAATGATGCCCTCTTCAAGAAAACTTATTCCCCAATAACGGGATAATATGCTGGTAACCGCAATATATATGCAATTATAATAGCAATTGGTGAAGTGTGTCCTAGTCAAGATAAAGTTTACCACTCAAGAGAAAGAGATTTAAAGTGCCTTCTATTTCTTCAGAAGAAGATTCTACATAACATATAACAATTATAATTAAAACTTGACTTTTATAGGGGGAGGAGGTTCAGGAGATTTTTTTGCCGATTTCGTATATAGAATCCAGTCCAGGGCCCTGAAGATTGAAAAAATATAGCCTGCCTAGTGAGTTGGAGGGCGGTTTTAGGTCAAGAACTGATGTCAATTTGATGGAGTGGAGGTTTTAGTCCAAAACTTTCAAAAACAAGGTCGCCATACTTGGCTAAAATTGGCGTTTGTGGACTCTTATCGTTGAAATTCAAATGGCGTCATCTATTCCTTCGGGCAACAATGACGTACTGGAGACTGGTCTCCCGGTCTCCGTCTCTAACTTTCATACCACAAAAAAGTTCACGGCCCGCCTAAACGGTGCAGAAAAGAGGAATACTCGAACAAACTTTGATCAGCTACTAAGAGCGCTTATAAAAGGCGGACTGGCCTAAACATTTTTCATTTTATCTTTTCATGGGATATGCAATGACAGCATTCGATCCTTTGTAGGAGAAATGGCTCCGAACCATTTAGCCCCAAAGTCGCAGACGTGCGGCCCAGCCCACCGCGGAGACTCGACATAGGACATGCCGAGAACAAAATGCGTTTGACTAAGTAACTGAAACCATTCTAATATTTTGCAGGTATTCCTATTGCGAAATTCTCTCCTTCATTTAGTGGATGCGACCGTTTTCCTTTGACACATAGGTAATGCAGCCCCTAACCTCCTACACCACGACCTCGTGAACCCAGCGCACCGCACTTCAGCTAGTTTGATAATAATCTAATACAAGCCACCATTTGTTGGTCCTGCGCATACCTTAGATATGGCAGATTTACTGTGCTAGCAACACACTGACATTGTAAGAGAGAATATGTTGTCGAGATTCAAGTCCATTGCAGTGATGAACTAATTGAGTTGTTACAAGTTGTCGTTACGCTAGATCCAAGGCAGTTAATGATGGCTTACTGTGTAACAGTTTTCAGGAAGCGATTTTTCAATAGGTGTAATCAATTTAATCTCTAACTTCAACTCTCTTCGTGTATGGCTCCAAATGTTTATTTTTCCACTTTAGGATACCTTTGTGACCCAAGTAGTCAGTCAACTTTATACGTGCAAAATTTATGGTATATAACATAAAATACAATTTAAAATTGTATGCTTTATTAGATTTCCGAATCAGTGTAAAGCTTACAATTGGGGCCTAGGGTCATTGTGAGAAACATTATTAACATTATATACTAGCGTGGCTTCTGCTAAGCTAATAGCAAAATAATATTTTATGTGAAATATTAACAATTTTTATATTTGATAAAGAATTATATTGTAAATGTATTATCGTTTCTAATATATTATATATATCCCTCTGTTATTCTACGTTTTAAATAATCTTTTCTTGTGTATGTATTGATGTCTAGACGGGAAATTGCACTACAGCACGAAACAATTTAGATATATAATTACAGTCTATGTCACGACAAGATAAAACGATCGCCCAGTAGCTCGTATTTAGAAATAATTGTCATTTGATATTAATACAGATATGTTGGATATGAATAGATTTATACTCCAATAATATAATATATTAGTAATTAGTTTCTTTGTGTTTCTCGTATAGATTGTAGTAATAAAAAGCTATTACTAGATTAACTATGTTACGTGACAAAAATACTTAATAACAATCTTTATTCGAAGCCATAATTCAGCATTTACATCAAAATATAAAAATATTAATTAAAGGAGTTTTTATAAACTATTTATAAGATTATTCCCACTCCATCTGTACAAGGCACTCTTTTTCAGCACTTTTGTGTTTTAGACAGTTTACGTAATGTAAGGAGCAACGGCGGATCCAGGGGGGGGGGTCATGACCCCCCCCCCCCTGAGCTGGTTTCAGAACTTAGGTCGACCACTAATTGAACATTATGATTTATTTATTTATTTTATCACCATACAGATTGTATGTAACTACATACCTTCAATAGTTAATTAATTTAAAATAATTACTTTGTATGATGGTAAACGTTTAGGAACGAACGCATAGACAATTTGAATTTTACCGCGCCACACTTGCGCGCTCTTCTGACTACGTAGCGTCTAGCTAGACCTAACCTCAATCGGAATCGGAACAACTAAACTTCAAGTTGCAAGGGTCTTCTTCTGCTTCTGCTTCTTGTCGATGTTCGATGTTCTGCTTCTGCTTCTTCACCGGGCTGGAATCTTTGACCACGAAGACTTTTCTTAATTTTAGGAAATGTAAAGAAATCGTTAGGGCTACTTTTTCCAGCTTTAAATACTCAATCGTTTGACGAACGCTGTGTGAGCTGGCGTTGTCGTGGTGCAGGATGATGGAATCAGAATCGTAGGCATAGATCCAAGAGTCGTCACCACTGATGATGTCGTAGACGTGATTTGACTCTCCTCGGTTGAACCTTTGCAGAGTTTTCTTACACCATCTGACGCGGGCTGCCTTGTGATCGTCGGAAAGCCGATGCGGTATCTAACGGCAAACTAGCTTTCTCACACCAAGTGCTTCATGCAAGACCTTCTGAATGGAATGCATCTCCCTGAGATGCCTAATAGAGCCACTATCTCTCGATACGTCACATGACGATCTTCGAGAATTGGTTTGAGATTCAAAATTTAAAGATTCTAATATAGAACAGTTCCAAATTTAAAATTGCCGGGAAATATGGGAACGACAGAACTTAAAAGGCATGCCTAGTATGCACTTCAGATGCTTTGTTTTTGCATTTATTAAGGGCTGCGGTACAAACATTAATATGGAAAAATTCTCATCAAACACAAGTAGGTACCCATTGATTATTGATCATTTTGGTTACGAAAAACTCAACGGTGACTTACGTCCACGGCAAATTACGAAGCCGTCTTTACCAGTCATTAATTCTACCATGTAAATGTACTGCAAATTGCCGCACGATGTCTTGTAATTGCAAAAATTCAGAATTGTTTTGTATTTCATTATGTAATCATCAATAACAAATGTCAAAATAAAAATGAGTAATTTTTTACGCTTGTTAAGCACATTTACCTATGCTTGAATTCGCTGGTTTTTCATTTATAACTTTTATTTATTTATTAATAAAAAATATGATTAATGAATTTATTGTTTAAGAATCTATCGTCACTTTTACCATAAGTACGAACTATATAAATTATTATAGAAATAATCATTAAAATGATTAGCATGTACTCAATACTTTCCCTTTAAAGGCATAAGAGAAAAGGGGGTAAAAAATGGACCGGCAAGATCCACATTATTATTCCATGACCTTTTCTTTACTCAAATCCGTTGGCGAAATTCGTCATACACATTTTGCATACTCAACTACCTCTAGCGCCCGGACTATAAGTATATTTATAAGTTCTTGACTTGACCACGACTATGTGACCACCTCCTTGCGCCAAAGCTGGATCCGCCCTTGGTAAGGAGTGCAGTCATTCAGAGAAGACATGATGAGAAATCTTGGTAAGATTAAGTTGGAAATTAATTAACTTGGAAAGATATAGGTAAAGATAGGTGTGAAACTGTATGTGTTAACGAAAATATCTCTTCATTCCTGAATTAAATTCATTCTCAATATGGCCTTTTCATGGAGAGTAGAGGGAAAGCGGTTTAGTTTTAGGAAGACTTATACGCGCCAACTTAAAAATACTTTTTTAATTTGCCTAATTACCTAATTAATACGAAAGTTATATTTAACACTCCATCTTTAGTCTTGAGTTAATTTTTCATATTATGGCACCTTCGTGAATACCATGCAACTAAAAGTTACCCCCGATAATGATAAAAATACAACCCCAGTTCTAAATTGATATTTTCCATTCACACGTCAGCAGGTGATCCCAGATTAAATCTGGACATCTTGCGATCTCGGGAGCCGGCCAGCAGCTGCCCTGACGAGGAGCGCTGCAGCGAGGCTGAGCGAGACCGGGAGGAATCCGACTTAGACTTCTTTACTTTGCTGCCTCCCGAAGGCGGTTGCTTGCCCTTCAGGGAAGATACAGACACTACTGTATCTGAGGTCAAGCCATCCTGTTCCACGCGCCGGATAACCTCACCGGCGTTATTTAAAAAGAACTTTGGCTTTGAGTCTTTTAGCAGCGAGTCCTGTAATATTAAGAAGTAGTCGGGTATTATTAAGTTATATAATAGTAATATTAAGTTATAAAATTCAGTCTAAAGCTGACCTTCGATTTACTAGACTTGGAAGCCATGTCGGAGCTTCCTTTCCACCAGGATCATTGAACCGAACAACCCTTTAAGTCAGCCTCCTTCTCGGGGCTCGCCACGTTGGCTTCTACGTCCTCTTCTTTTGATGTCTCCGCATCATCACTGCACATGCAAAAGTTACTTTTAGCAATAAGATATAAATATATAGAATATTACTCAAATGTTAAATAAACCAACTTACTCAGCATCTGGTTTAGCATTCTGTTGGTTTCTCATGGCCAATGTGGAAATCATCGGTGGGCGCTGAGGTTTGTTCGCGAGAATTCTCTCGATATCGACTATCACGGCAGGAGACAATTGGGGTACGATCTGGTTTTATAACATGTGTGTATAGTTCAATTTATATAGGCCGATGTAGTGCTAGTATCTAATCTTTTATTTTTTAGATAATGTAATATTACGTAGTGTCTTCCGGTCACAGTTGGCCACACATTTCAAAAGTTTAAAATACAATAATGAGAAAAGTACCTGCAGAGCATGTATATTCTCTTTGAATTGCTCAACACTGGTAGCTCCGAGAAGTAAACAGTTTACGTTTTCATTTTTTAGAGACCAAGCCAAAGATAATTGCCGTATAGAACAGTCTAAAAAATAATAGAACAACAAGTTTTAGGAAATACAACCGTCGAAAGGAAAGAAAAAATTATACTCACTTAAGGCGTTTGCTAGGTCTGATAAAGCTTGCAGCTTGTCCTTGTAACTACGTAATGTTGAAGATTCCTTGTTTTCAGGTTTCTTAAAAAATGGTTTATTGAAACGCTTAATATTGTATAATAATAACATTATTAAGATCACGATTGTGCGCTTTACTTACATCAGTGCCAACCGGTTCTTCTTCCCACCAGCTAAAGGTGCTGTATTTGCGGTTAAACCGAGACTTGGCAAATAGTCCTGACAACTCCTCGTGACTCAAACCCTTGTCGGTGGTGAGTGCAGACCACACCATAGTGCCTATATTGTCATGGTCATATCTGATATAAATCTGGAATCATAATTGATACCAGCCCATAAAAGGTCATCGTTAAACTCACCCACTCCAATTTTATGGTACAGCTCGGGCATGTATAGTTCGGCCTTGTCGCGGCAGAACATATGGTATTCAGTTTGCTCCACAACTGGCGTGCAACAATTGAAAGCACGGCACTTAGAGTATGCGTCCATTATCTGAGAAAGGAAACAGCGAGCCATCTTCTTCTTTTCTTTTGACAAATCTGACTTCTTACTACATTTATTCAGGACAACAAACTAACGAAACATACCTCGGATGGCGTCCAGCGCGCTGTCCCCCAGTACATCGCATAACCTTGATTCACGAGGTAGTTCATAATAATAATAATAATAATAATAATAATAATAAAGCCATTTATTCCAAAACTTGCTTATGTTTTACAATGTTGTTAGTACTACTTAATTGCTTAAATTTAAAATGGTTACTTATAATTACCGTTAGTATTATTATTTATGTACAAGGTTTGGATCCCTGTTGGGTAAAGGCCTCCTCCATCCTTTTCCATGACTCCCTGTCTCTGCCTATTTGTATCCAGTCGTTTCCTGCGACGTGTGTTATATCATCAGCCCACCGTCTTAATTGTCGACCAACATTTCTCTTCCCCATGGGTCCTTTCCATCGTGTGGTTTCAATGGTCCATCTTCTGTCTCGGTATCGTGAGATGTGTCCAGCCCATCTCCATTTGAGTAAGAGTGCGTGCCTGAGAGCATCAGTTAATTTGGTTTTTTGACGAATTTCTTCGCTCCTAATTTTGTGTATTTTCCTAATTTTCAGCATACTCCTTTCCATTGCTGTTTGGTTACTTTTAATTTTTTGTTTTATTTTATTTGTAAAGGTCCAAGTTTGGCAGCCATACAGCAAGCAAGGTAACAGGCATGTATCAAATATTGTCCTTTTCATGTGTGAGCTGTAATTGCCTTTTAAGATTTCTTTTAGTGCCCAGAATTTCTTCCAAGTTGTGTTGATTCTCCTTGTCACTTCTTCTTCGTTATTTGAAGTTTTGAAGGAAATTTGTTTGCCCAAGTATATGTATTGCCTGACGTATTCTATATTATTACCTTTTATCACTATCTGGCGCTCCCGATTGTTCGTTAGTATCTTCGTTTTATTTACATTCATTTCAAGGCCGATTTTGGAACTTTCGCAGTCCAGTGATCTCATCATTTCGTCTAAGTCTTTTGCAGTCTCAGCAATAACAGCAATATCATCTGCGAACCTCAGATTGTTTAAGTATTGTCCGTTTATGTACACTCCGCTGTTCTTCCAGTCTAGTTTTTGGAAGATAGTTTCAAGGACTGCTATAAACAGCTTCGGGGAAAGAGGATCACCTTGTCTAACTCCGCGTTCTATGTTTATTTCGTCGCCTCTAGTTTCTAATTTAACTCTGCTCGTGCTTTTTGTATAGATATATTTCAAAACATTGATGTATTTCTGGTTGATATTTGAATATTGTAAAGCGTTCCAGATTGCACAGTGACTAATGCTATCAAAAGCTTTGCTATAGTCAATGAACGCCACATACAGAGGTCTATTGTGTTCTCTGTATTTTTCTATGACTTGCTCTAATGTCTGTATGTGGTCCATTGTGCTGAAGCTTGATCTGAATCCTGCCTGTTCTTTTGGTTGCTGCTTATCAATATCGTCAGATATTCTCTTTAAGATTATGGATGAAAATAGTTTATAAATACTTGCCAGCAGACTTATGGGCCTGTAATTCCCTATATCTAAGGGATTTCCTTTCTTGAAGAGAAGGATTATATCCGATGTACACCACTGTTTTGGTACCTTTTCTTCATCTAGTATCTTATTGAACAATCGCGTAAAATGATATGTTAAAATGGGTGCTCCTATTTTAAGTGCCTCATTGCATATTCCGTCTGGTCCGGGACTCTTCTCGGCTTTCAGCTTTTTCATATGATCATAAACTTCGGAGTATTCAATTTGTCTGATGTGATCTGTCGTGTTCGTATGGGTTGTTTGCGATATGATTTCGGGGTTATTTTGTTTACTATATAAGTTTTTGTAGAAGTTAGTAGCGTGATTTATTACATCTTTTCTGGATTTTGTTTTTAGTGAGTTATTTTCAAGTTTTCGAATCCAGGACTTGTGTGTAGTTAATTCTTTGTATGCTTTTTTTGGCACTTCTAAAATGTTTAATGTTCCTTGTAATAATCTCGTATCTGTGGTTGTTGTAGTCCTTACGGATTGATCTATTAGTCTCTTTGTATATTCTGCTTAGTTCTGTTTTCATATCTTTAGTTTTGTTCTTTGTGTGTAGTAGTTCCGTGCGCCTTTTCAAAAGTTCCGTTGTGTCTTTTGAGAAGATATTGTGTTGGTGGGGATACATATTGGTTTTGTATTTTAAGCTCTCTGTTATGCCTTTTTCCAGGATATTGTAGTATGTTTGAATATCAATGCTGTCTGTTTTTATATTTTCTGTATGTTTTTGTAGATTTCCGATGTAGCACTTTATTTCTGTTTCTGTCTTGGGGATATTAGCTGGTGTTGTATAGGTTTTTCTGCTCTTTACTGGACTACTCAAAAGTAATGTTGCTCTCACTAATCTATGATCGGAAGAGAATTCAACTTTGTTAAGTACCTCAATATTAGTTATAAGTTTGTTGTGGGTTATCATAATAAAATCTATTTCATTTTTAGTTTTGTGGTCGGGTGATAACCATGTCCATCTAGAGCTTGCTTTCTTTTTGAAAAATGAGTTCATTATGGATAGTTTGTATTGATGAGCATAAATTAAGAGCCGTTCCCCTCTATCATTCCGCACTCCGTAACCATATTTTCCCATTACTGGATAGTAGTTTGTTTTTGGACATCCTATTTTCGCGTTGAAATCTCCCATGACAATGACCTTCCCTTCTGTCTTTGTGTGAGCAAATTCAATGTCTTTGTAAAAATTTTCAATTTCTTCTTCTGTTGATCTCTCTGTCGGTGCATATGCTTGGATTATTGAAAAAGAGAAGCAATCAAACTTCATTTGTAGAAGTGCTACTCTTTCAGAGATTCCTATAAAGTTGATGATGTTATTTTTATACATTTTCTTGATAAGGAATCCCACTCCATATAGTCCTTTAGTTTCGCCAATATAGCAAAATATAAGGTCGCTGTGCTCTTCTATCTTACATCCCATTTTTCGGACTTCTGCAAGGCCTATAATGTCCCAGTTAATATTTTTTAGAGCATTAGTCAATTCAAGGAATCGTTCTATTGATCCTAGCGATTTTACATTATAATTGCAGATTTTGAGTGTTCGTTTCATACCATGATCTATTTCTCTATTTGGTGGAGGGTTGTAGTCTGATTCCCCACGATGACAAGTCGGATTGGGGAATGTTTTGTTTCTTTTATCTATTAGTTCTCGTCTGTTTAATGTTTTGTTCCGGTGGCTGATGGCAATATCCTATAGATTCTGAACGGTTGGCACATTGGCAGAAGGTAAGGAATTACTTCTATTCCTCATTATGTCGAATGCATTTAACCGAGCTGCTTTTGTTGACAGTTGTTGTTTGTGAGGGTGCTCTATTGCGTTAGGCGAGGTTGATGTTTCCCTTTTGCGTTTTTCGTTACCTGGTTTGCCCTGTTTAATAATTAGCTTGTCGTAGTTTATGTATGCATAATTGCTCTTCTTCCTTTCCTCTTCCAATTTTGGTTGTAGTTTCCTTCTCATGTCCAATATTTCTTTCGGGTAGTCTTCAGAGGTAGTTCATAGTTCGCACCAATTCTGTAAGGAAAAAGTTCAGTCATTACGGTCAATACGGTTCGTTCTTATTTTGCGAATATCGCTGTCATACCTTCCATTGGGCAAACGCGGTCCACTTTATGTAGAAGGATAACGTCTATGTACTCCAGTTGTAGTTTCGCAAGTGACGACTTTACACTCTCTATAATGTGCTTTCGAGACTGACCTCTTTCTTCAGACCTGAAATAATTAGATAGCTTGTTTCGCTGTATTTATTTTCTTATCGTGTCGATAAAAAACAATAACTCACTTTGTACTCCAATAAACTTTTATTGTAATAATGATGCTGGATCGTTTCACGTTCCTCTTTTTCAGAATTCTTCCCAAATCTACTTCGCCTTGAGCTGAAAATCAAATTGTAAAATATTTATCATAGTGTTAGACTTACAAGATACATATGAAAGCGAATTAGTTAAGGTTCAAAATTTCGTTTGTTTTGTTTGATAAATAATCGTAAGGGTCCATAATGGTTTAAAACGAGACTTACCGTAATGAGCTTCCGATAAATCAAACAAATTAATGCCACTCTCAAGAGCTGTCATGACGAGGTCTTCGGCAACGTCTTCGTTGAGCTTAGTCCACAGGCCGAGGCCGATGTTGGGCACCCGCAGCCCTGACTTGCCCAAGTTTTTATAACGAAGTCCTGGAGTCACGGATGATGGCATACTTGCATGGTTCCCCATGTACACTGATGCATGACGAGACATATTGCTCCAGCTAGCTGTTAAAACATATTTTATTCTTTAACTGGGTTTTTTCACATTTCATTTTTAACAGGCGCAACTCTTCTACCGAAGCATTAAAAACAACAAATGTAATTGCTAAGTTATTCATAGATGTACTAGAAGTATTACTAAGCCATGGTAACTTAATGTAGTAGTAGGCCGGAAGTAACACGTCATTTATACTTGAGGTATTTTTCACATTTGCCTATATTTTTTGGAAGGCGTCTGTTTTTCGCAATCAAGTATGTAAATGTAAAATAAAAAGTTGCCATAACCCGTAGAAAACTAATGTTAATACCTGGCTGAAATAAGTGCAGAGCGGAGTGAGTGCTGAAGTCGTCCATACAGTCCAGTGACGCGATGGGTGCTCGGCATCTGAGTACCATATTCACACGTTAATTTTCTATATACGTACAATAATCTGTTTTTAATTTACGTAACATCTTAAAATGACCCAACGATTAACAGTTATGCCCTTTTATTACTATTTACTGCCAAATTTTACATTACAAAAAATACTAATTTGCACCATACTAAATAGCTCAAAATCTTATGAATTAAACAACACAATCATGTTTTGTCTCCACTCAAGTAACTTTGTATATTCTTACTTTATATGAAATAGATTTATAAGAAAATCTGTTAAGGCCAGTCCGTTGACGAAGATCTATAAAAATTACATACCAAATTAAATTATATAAATTGTTCGACTTGCTAAGTACATACTTAATATCTACATGAAGTATTTATCCACAAAATCTATGTTCGAGCTACGTTGACAATGACAATTATAGCTAGATCTATAAAAGGCAGGAGAGGAAGGATTGTTGTGATAAACTTACCTTTACGCCGGCGTTGACATGAAAAGCAAAGCTTACAACAGTCTGATAGCTCATAAGAATAATGATATATATTAATCATTATTTCATAAATATACCCATGACAGAAAGTATATATTAAATGTTATACCGAAAATGATCCTGTTCAAGTTGGATTGTTGTTGCTTCGTTTTACCAGCCTTTCAAAACTGTGCAAGAAATGAATATGCTAATCATTTAACATCTCACTATATAATTAGCAAGTTGCGGGCGATCAGGGCGTTGTGTATAGATTTTTCGGTGACCTTGTTCTCCAGTAATCCGCCGTGATGGTCATGCGATGTCCTGTGGCAGTATGTGAAGTGGTGCTGGGACTATACAGGATCGTGCATTGCTGAGCTTGGATGACGTCCTGTCCTTCGATCGCCACGTCCGAGGGACGGTTCCAATCGAGGGACACGACGCTAGCGCTTGAGGCCCGGAATTAGGGGCGTGTTACCGGTATATGGTGGACATTGGGTTGGAGTCTACGCTGACGCTGTCCGGCGGACCGAAGGGTGTGTGCGGTGTGTGGCGGCTGACCGTAGACTCGCTGCGCGACATGGCGCTCTCTTTGCCCTCACGCTGATCCATCCTTCTCATACCTAACTCATCTGAAACAGACGACTGAAGGAAGGAACGTAGCGGGTTGAGTCAAGTAACTCCTAGGACTAACACGAGCCACACGATGATCTGTTGCTCCAATTTCGGTTCTCACCAGGGTACGCGACAAGCTCACGCACTGCGATCTAGCGTCTGCGCGGGAAAGGGTGGCGATTGCTGCAGCTATCTGCACGCAGTTCTAGTGTCTACTGCGCACGTCTACTTGCTATAACCTACACTTACACTAACGATTTCCTCACATAGGTAACTACAATTTCTAAACTCTTCTAATATTTCTTAAATTCCGACTATCGTTACTAATTTCTCTCAAAAATGAATTAATGATCCAATACGCTACAATTAGGTTCATATATAATTTTGTCGCTACGATTTAAATTCAAATTTGAAAGCAAAAGTGAAAAATTATTCAAATGAACGAGATCATAGTGTAGTAATGTTATCTAGTAACTCACCAAATAACTTCATTAAGTTCTCTGAAGTCGAAAAGTGCCAAAACTTAAAGGATTAAATCTGAGTAAATTGTTCCATGACCTACGACAACATAGCTAACAAGTAACATCGAGTAGCAGTGGCCGCAGCGCCGTTTTCGGACCGGCTTGGAGCAGTGGAATTGCGTACAAGAACGATAAATAAAACTGTGCTTGCAACTGTGCTCGCTATAGAAATACAGCTGCGAAACTGGATGCGGCAATTCAATAGCCATATGACCACGGAGTAATAAAATTGATATATGGGTATTGTAATTCCGGTGCTCAAAGCTTAAGTGTCGTGACTCGTGGTAGTGCAATCCTCAAACTTATTGTGATTAAAAATAGTCGCGAGTAAAAACTATTGGGATTAAAACTATCGTGATTAAAAATTAATAAACTGTTGTGATTAAAAATATATAAATATACGAATTGATGGACCCGGTGAATAGTGGAAAATACGACTGAGCATTACCTATTAGAAACGTCACAGTGATATCGGCTACATTCAATTCTAAAAACATGGAAGATCAATTTCAAATTCTGTTCGACAAGATGAAAATCGAAATGCAGAAACAGACAATGGAACTAAAAGAGTCTATAACTAATTCTGTCATGGAGAAAATAGATGAAAAAATAAAACCTATTTTAGCAGAAAACAAAGATTTAAAGGAAAAAATAATGAACCTTGAAAAGGAGTTGGAATATTTGAAAAGAGATAAGAAGGAAAACAACATAATTATTTTTGGATTAAAAGAGGAAGAGGAGTCTACGTCAGGATTAATTCAAGTGGTGAAGAAGATTTTTAATAAAAACTTAAATATAAAAATTGAAGATTTTGAAATAAACAAAATTTATCGCATCGGAAAGAAAAGCCCAGACGGAAAACCGAGACCCGTACTGTTTTCCTTTATCAATTCATGGAAGAAAAACGAGGTAATGAAAGTCCGGAAGAACCTCAAAGACATATATATAACAGAAGATTATTCTAAAGAAGTTTTGGAGAAGAGAAAAATGTTACAAATTAAATTGAAAAAGGAAAGAATGAAAGGCAACTTTGCATATCTTAGATACGATAAACTTGTAGGAAAAGAAACTAATTCAAACAAGGAAAAAAGGAAGAGAGAAATGTCCTCGTCGCCGCTAGACAATTCACAAGCTAAAAAGCAGCAAGCCCGGACATTACAAAATAATAGACGCAATGCCTTTGATGTCATGAGATTCAGATCTAACTCCCTCTCCTCCTGTAACGTGGATAATAGACAATAACAATTAGATATCGGCAACTGGAAAACACAACAACAACATAAAAATATAAGAAACCAAATAACTAAAAACCAACAACCTCCCCCAAACCGACTGGTCCTCGTGGGAGAAAATGGCCACGACCCTCTAAAGATAAGAAATAACAGGAAGACAAATGACGATCTATATATAGCAACTATAAATTGCCGATCACTAGGAACCATGGAAAAATTACAAGAACTAGAATTAGCATTAGATGAAATTAAATGGGACATAATTGGCATCAGTGAAGTGAGAAGACTTGGGAAAAGAACTGAAGACCATGGCAAATACATACTACACCATATCGGGGAGACGCCTGGACTATATGGAGTCGGATTCATGGTTAAAAGAAACCTCGCCAAAAACATACAGGAATTAAGAGGGATTTCAGAACGGATTGCACTTCTCAACATTCAATCACCTGTAGATGGAGAGAAAGAACAACAATGGTCTATAATCCAGGCATATTCACCTACCGAACCAAAAAGTAAAGAAGATACAACAAAAATTGAAAGATTTTACAAAGATCTTCAATCCACTGTTGCAAATGCATCAAAAAACATAATAGTCATGGGTGACTTTAATGGACAGATTGGTAAACAAAAAAGTGGAGAAGAATATACCATAGGAAATCACGGATCTGGCAATAGAAGTATAAACGGCTCACGACTAGTATCCTTCGCTATCGAAAATAAATTAAGTATTCTTAACAGTTTTTACAAAAAGAAACCATCAAAGAAATGGACATGGATCTCTCCTAACGGCCGGTATAAAAACGAGATCGACTATATAATGTCTAACAAGGTAAAAGTTTTTAAAGACTTGTCTGTATTAAATAACTTCAATTTTAACTCAGATCACAGAATGGTAAGAGCAAAACTCTCAGGAACACGTGCTAAGAAAGCACGTCAATTTCACAACAACATGAAAGCCATCGAATGCATCGGTAACACTGATTTGCTGTTGAACAACCTCGAAAAATCACTGATGGATGGGGAAAAATAATGTATATCGACTCAAGACAAATACAACGGACTGCTCAATCAATTAAAAACAAAAACTAAAAAAGTAAACACGATTACTAAGACAATTATATCAATTAAAAGTAAACTATTATTACAAGAACGGAAAGAACTTATACAACAAAGAAAAAGTAATACCAACAACAACCAAAAGATAGCAGAAATAAGCAAAAAGATTAGCGAACAACTTAGGAAAGAACGGAAAACAAAAAGGATAACAACATTAAGAAAATATATAGAAAAAACAGGAGGAATAAAGAAGGCGCTGAAAGAAATGAATTACAAAAAGGACTGGATTCCAAATCTGAAAAGTAAAAATAGAGAAAAGACTAGTAAAAGACCAGAGATACTAGGAATCGCTACGGAATACTACCAAAATTTATACCAAAGTCGAAAAGGGGAACAAGTAATAAATGATTATAGTTCAATAAACAAAGATGAGATTAAACCAATTCTAAAATACGAAACAATAAAATCTATCCAATCACAAAAACTAGATAAGGCACCTGGATCTGACTTAATCACAAACGAACTACTGAAAACCACGTCACCAGTGATAGCACCTAGACTTACAGATTTGTTCAATGAAATTCTCGAAAATGAAACCATCCCGGAAGACTGGACTAAATCGATAATCATACTGCTGCATAAGAAGGGAGACAAGGGTGATATAGGAAATTATAGGGAATTTAACAAAACGTACTACATAGGATTCGTCGACTTTAACAAAGCGTTCGACACATTGGAACATGATTATATATGGGACGCTCTAAAAAGACAAGGAGTACAAGCAAAATACATACGAATAATTAAAAACGTATACGCAGCCAGTACCGCACAAGTTAAACTTGAATCTACGGGCAACGAATTTCCTATTACAAGAGGCGTACGCCAAGGTGATCCTATATCGCCAAAATTATTTTCTGCTGTGCTAGAAATGATCTTTAGGAATTTAAACTGGACCAGAATGGGACTCAATATAAATGGCCAAAACCTCAACCATCTACGCTTCGCAGATGATTTGATTTTGTTCTCAGAGGACGCAGGAACACTGGGACTTATGTTGCAGCAACTATCCAATGAAAGTGCTAAGGCCGGTCTGTCAATGAACTTAACCAAAACCAAAATTATGACGAACGCCCAACTAACAGTAAACAACGAACAAATAATAGTAAATAACGAACCAATAGAATATGTAAATGGATACATATATTTGGGCCAACTTATATCTGCAGATGATTGCATGAACAAAGAAATAGAGAGAACAATAACTAATACTTGGAAACGGTTTTGGTCTCTTAGAGAAATAATGAAGGACACAGATATGCCAATGACAGGAAAAAAGAAAAAATTCGAAACATGCATTATACCATGCCTATTATATGGGTGCCAGACATGGGCGTTAACAGAAAGGCAGGAAAATAAATTAAAAGTCTGCCAAAACGCAATGGAAAGGAGTATTTTAGGTATAAAAAGAAGAGATAGAGTAAAATTACAAGAAATTAAAAAGAAAACAAAATTCAAAAATGTACACACAATCTACAGACAGCTTAAATGGCGTTGGACCGGACATATGTTGAGAGAAAGTACAGAAAAATGGACAAGGATAGTAACTGAGTGGTATCCAAGATATACCAGAAGAAAAAGAGGTAGGCAAACGAAAAGATGGGAAGACGACTCCAACAAAATAGCTGGTCAGGTATGGACTCGTTTAGCAAAAGACAGGAATACGTGAAAATCTTTAGAGGAGGCCTTTGTCGACAGACAAGCTGTTCCAGACAAACATCCAGTTGCCGAACATACAAAATAAACCAATTTAATTTAGTAAGTACTTCGAAAGTAATTTAAATTTAATTTAGTAGAAAAGTATTTAGAAAGTAATTATGTTAGGCATGTATTAATTAATGAGTATTATTGTAAGATAGAAACTGCAATAAAGGCTATTTTTATTTATTTATTTATTATATACTATGCTTATAGGTTTTAGTTAAACAAATGTATTTGTAAGAAATACACCTTGTTGTATTAGGTTAACAGCACGCAACTTCCATATCGATTTCAACAACAGTAATGAATGTTTGATTCGGCACTTTATTAGAGATTTATACCTAATCATTAGTTTTGGTCCTACGGAATAACCCCGCGGGTTGATGGTAACAACAGAATTTACTAAAAATCGATATCATTATTATTATTTAATTCAAACTATTAAATTACAACAAGAAAAAAAGAAACTGAATACATTTCGAATTCTATCTATCAATAATACATGACAGGTTGCGGTGTAGTGAGTTCTCCATCCTGAGATTTAGTAATAATTTGGAACTGAGCCAATACGCAATGTTTCGCTTTTCGTAAAAATAACCCATACGTGATTTCCAGTATTCACGCCGAATAAACGTGTTTAGAAGACTGCCGCGATATTTTAGGATTTATTATTGTGGTAAATATTTTTATTTTCTTTAACTCCATCCTATACAAAAAATAATGTTATTATACGTAACATTCTTTTACGTTTTATATATATAACTAATGTAATATAATTTGTAACCAACGGTCAAAGAACAATGGCTTAATTTAATTATTATACTTACTTATGTAAGAAGTATTACCTGTTTGTTGTTAATTAGCAAAACGTAACTATGCGTTGTTTATCGCCAAATACACTTTTAGTTGTTGTACTTTTTGCGTAATTAGATATAAATAGAAACAAGACTTTTTATTTATTTAAGGTGAACCACAACCAGAGCGCATGTGCACAACTCGCTGGACCTGCGTACGCATAGCTGGGGCAGCCGTCGCCCTTTCTCCACAGACGGCCAACCGCAGTGCACGTATTCGTTGAGGGTTTAAGCGAGAGTGGATTCGAGAGCAGCAGTCAGCCAGTGGTTAGATCATCGTTAGTCCTATATATTAGATAGTTAGGCTACGCTTGCTTTTCTACGTGTGACTTAACCCGCTACGTCCTTTCCTTCAACCGTGAGAGTGTATGTTTCAGACGAGTTAGGTATGAAGAGAACGGAGCAGCGGCAGAACAAAGGAAACACCATGTCACGAAGCGAATCCACGGTCAGCCGCCGCACACCGCATACACCACTCGGTCTACCCGACAGTGTCAGCGTAGACTCCAACCCAATGCTCACCATATACCGGTAACGCCCTAGCCTCTGCGCCTAGCGTCGTGTCTCTCGATCAAAACTGTTTCTCGGACGATCGAAAGACAGACACAACCATGCTCAGCAATGCACGACACAGTAAAGTTCAGCGCCACTTCACTCGCTGTCACAGTCGACGTCGCATGATCCCCGCGGCGCATCTCTGGAGTGCTATCCATCGAGAGTGCTACGATATGCTATGCTCTGATGGCTTGCTTTAAGACGAATTATCAAATTGTCGTGAATATCCATAGAAAATACAAAAGCCGATTTGAACCTTCTCATAGTTCAAAGGTATCGGATTTATGTCTTTTGTCTTTGACATTTTTCTATTACATTAGCCAGCCATCAGGTTGTAGCTAGCTTAGCTTTCATATCAGTGCCGTCGACGAGGTAAGTTATCATTAATATTACTTAAAACTTACCTTTCTTCCTGACTCCCGCATTTTATTTTTCACTCTCTATGCTTTGTGGAGTTATAGAATTTAATTAGAGAAATTGTATGTTGCAAATATTCCGTTCTATTTAATTTGTATTTGTGTATAATTTTGGTTCATATCGATACCGTGTAAGTATAAAATAACTAGCCACAGTAGAGTATTTTTAATCATATGGAATTTATTGTTGTGCTTGCAATTTAGAAAATAGTCGCAGTTGTTAAAATAGGGTAGTGTTTAAGCAGAAATTTAGAATAAGCTTTTTATTTTATAATAAATTAAGGATTCTTACGTTAGATAAAATAATAGTCTTAAAAACATATTAATGAAATATTTAATTTAGACTTTTGATTTTGGAACGTGATACGCAGATGCCGAGCACCCATCGCGTCACTGGACTGTATGGACGACTTTAGCACAAACTCTGCTCTGCATTTATTTCAACCAGGTATACATTAGCTCCAAGCTCTCGCTATCCTTTTTATGTTTTTCACTCAATTATTTGCAGTTATCATATATATAAATCAGTCGGTGTTTTTGGGAAGGATATGTTAAGAAGAACTTCCCTGTCAAAGCTCCCTTGGCTTTGGGATTTACCACAATACATAACACATACAGCTGAGAAATGTATTAATATCCGTAAATTTATAGTGTTTATAATAAATTGATTATCCAATATTTTTGTAGCCAGTTGGGAGAATATGGCAAATCAGTCGTCAGTGTACATGGGGAACCACGCAAGTATGCCGTCATCCGTGACTCCAGGACTTCGTTACCAAAACATGGGCAAGTCAGGATTGCGAGTGCCCAACATCGGCCTCAGCCTGTGGATCTCTCATCTCAACGAAGATGTCGCTGAAGACCTCGTCATGACAGCTCTCGAGAGTGGAATCAATTTAATTGATTTATCTAAAGCTCATAACGGTAAGTCTTTTTAAAAAATTACTAATTAGATTCCACATGCATTTTAATAATGTCTGATATACCATAATGGTAGTTTTTAAACTTGACACTTTATTGACTAAACTAATAACTTTTAACGATTTTAGCACAGGGTGAAGCAGAATTGGGCAGAATACTGAAGAAAAGAAACGTTAATCGATCCAGTATTATTATTACAACCAAAATCTATTGGAGTACTAAGTGAGTTTTCTTGTTTATTAGAAATAAAAAAAATACCAGTAACCCTGGTATATATTTATTCTATAATTTAACGGTTATGTTCACATAGATACGTATATAAAAGTAAAACTTAATTTTTTTATTTATAGGTGTGAAGAAAGAGGTCTATCTCGAAAACATATAATAGAAAGCGTGAAGGAGTCATTGGGGAGGCTCCAGCTAGAGTACATAGACTTAGTTCTTGTACATAAAGTGGATCCAGTATGTCCGATGGAAGGTAGGACCCTGCATTCTATATAATTAAATCGAAACTAAGTATTGTATCAATGTTATAAATTGCTTACTGCAGAATTGGTCCGAACAATGAACTGCCTCATAAACCAAGGATATGCGATGTATTGGGGCACAGCGCGCTGGACTCCAACCGAGGTAAAATGTACTTTTTGCCTTATATCAAAATGTATAATGTAGTTAAATATATTTTAATAATACAATAAAATGGATTTCATAGATTATGGACGCGTACTCTAAGTGTCGATCTTTAAATTGCCGTCCGCCGGTCGTCGAGCAGACAGAGTACCATATGTTCTGTCGTGAAAAGACCGAACTGTATATGCCAGAAGTGTATCATAAAATTGGAGTGGGTCAGTATATTAATTTTAGTATTGTAGGTACCCATGATCGATCGTAATCATTGTCTTTATATGCAGGAACTATGGTGTGGTCTGCACTAACTACTGATAAGGGTCTGAACCATGACGAGGTGGCAGGGTTATTTGCCAAATCTCGCTTCAACCGCAAATACAGCACATTCAGCTGGTGGGAGGAGGAACTCGTTGCTAACAATGTAACTAAAGCATTCATTAAACATCCTTTACATAATATATTTTAAATAAAATAAGCTTAAATAAGGTGTTTTTATAGGAACTCGAAAACAATGAATCTACAGTAGCCGAAGAGTCACGAAGTTTCAAGGACAAACTGAAAGCTCTCTCCGACCTAGCCAATGCCATGAGCGAGTATAATTTATGATTCGCTATAATTCTAAAATCGAGTTATAAATATTTACGCCTGTCTCATTGTGTTTTCAGATTGCTCGATAAGGCAGTTGTCGGTGGCGTGGTGTCTTAAAAATGAAAATATAAACTGCTTACTTCTAGGCGCTGCAAGTGTCGAACAATTCAAAGAAAATATACACGCACTGCAGGTATCTTATTTAGGAGGCAATTTTTACATTACAGATTATCGTAATCGTAAAAATACGTAATCAAGTAATATGTGGTTTTAATTGTTGGTTGTGGACAAAAACCAAGCCACGATATTTTACTGTAGTACTTTCCATCATTTTTATTTTCTCAAATAAACAGTTAATGAGTCATTTAATTCGATTTCACAGATCGTGCATCAATTGTCTCCGGCGGTGATTTTGGACATCGAAAAAATTCTGGCAAACAAACCTCAGCGACCCCCGATGATCTCAACTCTGATGATGCGAAACCAACAGAACGCCAGACCAGACGCTGCGTAAGTTAGTTCATTTAGCACTGAAGTTTTAATATGAATCTTTGCATTCTAAGGTTCTGTTTAACGAAACTTTTGTACGGTCAGTGATGGCACAGAGACGCCGAAAGAAGATGACGTGGAAGCCAACGTTTCAACCCCCGAGAAGGAGGAAGTAGTCATGGGTGCGTTTCAATGACTTTGGTGGAAACGAAGCTCTGACACGGCTTCCAAGTCCAGTAAATCTAAGGTCAGGTTCAAACTGAATTTTACATTACATTTGAAAAATCATTGTATAACACAGTCTTGTCCTTTATTTTACTTAGGACTCGCTGCTAAAAGACTCAAAACCAAAGTTCTTTTTGAACAATGCTGGCGCGGTGATACGGCGCGTTGAACATGATGGCGTGACGTCCGATACAGTAGTATCTGTATCTTCTCTGAAGGGCAAACAACCAGCATCAGGAGGCAGCAAGGGTAAGAAGTCTAAGTCAGAATCCTCCCAGTCACGTTCTGGCTCGCTGCAGCGCTCCACGTCAGGGCAATCGGCGAGCTCCCGAGACCGTAAAATGTCTAGGTTCAATCTGGGATCACCTGCTGATGTATAAAGTATGAAACAACATGAGGGTCATGAATCTTTGTAATTTTTTCACTCAAGGACAAAAACTGACATCGTTTATCACAAATTAGTTAGAGGTAGCACTATATAGAAGTCAATATTAATATGACTTTAGTCTATTTAACATATTAGTGTTTTATCTTTTATCCTACCTGTTATGTAACCTACCTAATTATGTATAAGTATATTTTGCGGAAGTAATGCATTTAGTATGTGTATGTAGCGCACTGTGTATATATATTTTTTTAGAAAGTTCTAGACAACACTTTCACTTAATATTATGGTATAAAGTGTCTATTTTAGCTATATTAAGGTCAAATAAACCTTTGCGCACTGTCTCACATATCAATTGTTATAACAATGTGATTGGAAATATAAATTTAATAGTCAAGCTAAATGAAAGAGATAATTGGCAGATTTAATTTTAGTTCGCTTACCATACCATACGCTCTGTTGTTTGACTAAACTAAATAATTCAATCAGCCAAATGTATAATCAAATAATCAAAATGTATGTATATAATATAGTGTTAACCAATTCAAATGTTTTTATTTGTATACCTACTGCATATATATTTTTACTGTCTCTAAGCTTTAGAATAGCCCTGCTTGCGACAATTTGTTTTGCAATTTTAAATTAATTAACTCCGAAAGTGATGAATTTGCGTTGCGAATAAAGTGTATTTAATTTATGTTATTATCTATTGCAATTGTATAGACATTTAAAATTACCACCAATACTACAGAGTTATTTTTATTATTTAGGTATTAAATTTAGTAAATCTTCGTAGCGTCGAAAACAAAAATGTATTATTATAAAAACACTTTTTTTTTCTTTATAAATGGGTTTTATTTGTGCCAACTGGGCACAAGATACTTACTTCGCCATTGTCGTGTAGATGGAGAAGGCACGAAGGAGATTGATCGGTGAAAATAAAAATAAAAAAACGTTGAAATTCGATTGTTAGTTTTAAGACAGCATAGACAACACAAATATGAGTAATAACATTATTAAATACCTACTATTTCCTATTTTCGAATAATTTATATATATATTTCTATATATTATACTTTAATTTTATTGCTTTCTAATATAGAAAGGGTATAGGTATAGGTATATATATATAGGTATATACCTATTTACATAAAAATCTACAATATGTACTAAACACAAACATTTAACACTTAAAGGACGGGGGACTTTAGGGGGAAGAACTAGAGAGGATAGGTTAGTTTGGGACAATTAAATAGAATGTGAGATACAGTGCCTTCATCCAAGCCACACTCACAGATAGAGTGAGATGATGGACAGGGGTGCAAGCATGACCAAGACGCAGACGATAGATTGTGGATGTAATCCAGCGATTTGCATTCCGAGTGTGACAAAACCAGGGTTGTCTTGGTATGCTTCGTTGGATGGAAGCATAAAACTTGCCCTTAACCGTTTTGGAGTCATTCCAAAATGTCTTCCAGGTTCTGTCCATATATATCTTTGCAAGAGCACAAAGATCCTGTGCTGAATATTTAAAATGATCTAGAGAACCTGACTCAACAGCTGATTTGGCACATGAATCAGCAGTCTCGTTTCCAGGGATTTCCGAACCAGTGTAAAGCTTACAATTGGGGCCTAGGGTCATTGTGAGAAACATTATTAACATTATATACTAGCGTGGCTTCTGCTAAGCTAATAGCAAAATAATATCTTATGTGAAATATTAACAATTTTTATATTTGATAAAGAATTATATTGTAAATTTATTATCGTTTCTAATATATTATATATATCCCTCTGTTATTCTACGTTTTAAATAATCTTTTCTTGTGTATGTATTGATGTCTAGACGGGAAATTGCACTACAGCACGAAACAATTTAGATATATAATTACAGTCTATGTCACGACAAGATAAAACGATCGCCCAGTAGCTCGTATTTAGAAATAATTGTCATTTGATATTAATACAGATATGTTGGATATGAATAGATTTATACTCCAATAATATAATATATTAGTAATTAGTTTCTTTGTGTTTCTCGTATAGATTGTAGTAATAAAAAGCTATTACTAGATTAACTATGTTACGTGACAAAAATACTTAATAACAATCTTTATTCGAAGCCATAATTCAGCATTTACATCAAAATATAAAAATATTAATTAAAGGAGTTTTTATAAACTATTTATAAGATTATTCCCACTCCATCTGTACAAGGCACTCTTTTTCAGCACTTTTGTGTTTTAGACAGTTTACGTAATGTAAGGAGTGCAGTCATTCAGAGAAGACATGATGAGAAATCTTGGTATGTTGGAAAGGAATTAACTTGGAAAGTTATAGGTATATATCTCTTCATTCCTGAATTAAATTCATTCTCAATATGGCCTTTTCATGGAGAGTAGAGGGAAAGCGGTTTAGTTTTAGGAAGACTTATAAGCGCCAACTTAAAAATACTTTTTTCATTTGCCTAATTACCTAATTAATACGAAAGTTATATTTAACACTCCATCTTTAGTCTTGAGTTACTTTTTCATATTATGGCACCTTCGTGAATACCAAGCAACTAAAAGTTACCCCCGATAATAATAAAAATTCAACCCCAGTTCTAAATTGATATTTTCCATTCACACGTCAGCAGGTGATCCCAGATTAAATCTGGACATCTTGCGATCTCGGGAGCCGGCCAGCAGCTGCCCTGACGAGGAGCGCTGCAGCGAGGCTGAGCGAGACCGGGAGGAATCCGACTTAGACTTCTTTACTTTGCTGCCTCCCGAAGGCGGTTGCTTGCCCTTCAGGGAAGATACAGACACTACTGTATCTGAGGTCACGCCATCCTGTTCCACGCGCCGGATAACCTCACCGGCGTTATTTAAAAAGAACTTTGGCTTTGAGTCTTTTAGCAGCGAGTCCTGTAATATTAAGAAGTAGTCGGGTATTATTAAGTTATATAATAGTAATATTAAGTTATAAAATTCAGTCTAAAGCTGACCTTCGATTTACTAGACTTGGAAGCCATGTCGGAGCTTCCTTTCCACCAGGATCATTGAACCGAACAACCCTTTAAGTCAGCCTCCTTCTCGGGGCTCGCCACGTTGGCTTCTACGTCCTCTTCTTTTGATGTCTCCGCATCATCACTGCACATGCAAAAGTTACTTTTAGCAATAAGATATAAATATATAGAATATTACTCAAATGTTAAATAAACCAACTTACTCAGCATCTGGTTTAGCATTCTGTTGGTTTCTCATGGCCAATGTGGAAATCATCGGTGGGCGCTGAGGTTTGTTCGCGAGAATTCTCTCGATATCGACTATCACGGCAGGAGACAATTGGGGTACGATCTGGTTTTATAACATGTGTGTATAGTTCAATTTATATAGGCCGATGTAGTGCTAGTATCTAATTTTTTATTTTTTAGATAATGTTATATTACGTAGTGTCTTCCGGTCACAGTTGGCCACACATTTCAAAAGTTTAAAATACAATAATGAGAAAAGTACCTGCAGAGCATGTATATTCTCTTTGAATTGCTCAACACTGGTAGCTCCGAGAAGTAAACAGTTTACGTTTTCATTTTTTAGAGACCAAGCCAAAGATAATTGCCGTATAGAACAGTCTAAAAAATAATAGAACAACAAGTTTTAGGAAATACAACCGTCGAAAGGAAAGAAAAAATTATACTCACTTAAGGCGTTTGCTAGGTCTGATAAAGCTTGCAGCTTGTCCTTGTAACTACGTAATGTTGAAGATTCCTTGTTTTCAGGTTTCTTAAAAAATGGTTTATTGAAACGCTTAATATTGTATAATAATAACATTATTAAGATCACGATTGTGCGCTTTACTTACATCAGTGCCAACCGGTTCTTCTTCCCACCAGCTAAAGGTGCTGTATTTGCGGTTAAACCGAGACTTGGCAAATAGTCCTGACAACTCCTCGTGACTCAAACCCTTGTCGGTGGTGAGTGCAGACCACACCATAGTGCCTATATTGTCATGGTCATATCTGATATAAATCTGGAATCATAATTGATACCAGCCCATAAAAGGTCATCGTTAAACTCACCCACTCCAATTTTATGGTACAGCTCGGGCATGTATAGTTCGGCCTTGTCGCGGCAGAACATATGGTATTCAGTTTGCTCCACAACTGGCGTGCAACAATTGAAAGCACGGCACTTAGAGTATGCGTCCATTATCTGAGAAAGGAAACAGCGAGCCATCTTCTTCTTTTCTTTTGACAAATCTGACTTCTTACTACATTTATTCAGGACAACAAACTAACGAAACATACCTCGGATGGCGTCCAGCGCGCTGTCCCCCAGTACATCGCATAACCTTGATTCACGAGGTAGTTCATAGTTCGCACCAATTCTGTAAGGAAAAAGTTCAGTCATTACGGTCAATACGGTTCGTTCTTATTTTGCGAATATCGCTGTCATACCTTCCATTGGGCAAACGCGGTCCACTTTATGTAGAAGGATAACGTCTATGTACTCCAGTTGTAGTTTCGCAAGTGACGACTTTACACTCTCTATAATGTGCTTTCGAGACTGACCTCTTTCTTCAGACCTGAAATAATTAGATAGCTTGTTTCGCTGTATTTATTTTCTTATCGTGTCGATAAAAAACAATAACTCACTTTGTACTCCAATAAACTTTTATTGTAATAATGATGCTGGATCGTTTCACGTTCCTCTTTTTCAGAATTCTTCCCAAATCTACTTCGCCTTGAGCTGAAAATCAAATTGTAAAATATTTATCATAGTGTTAGACTTACAAGATACATATGAAAGCGAATTAGTTAAGGTTCAAAATTTCGTTTGTTTTGTTTGATAAATAATCGTAAGGGTCCATAATGGTTTAAAACGAGACTTACCGTAATGAGCTTCCGATAAATCAAACAAATTAATGCCACTCTCAAGAGCTGTCATGACGAGGTCTTCGGCAACGTCTTCGTTGAGCTTAGTCCACAGGCCGAGGCCGATGTTGGGCACCCGCAGCCCTGACTTGCCCAAGTTTTTATAACGAAGTCCTGGAGTCACGGATGATGGCATACTTGCATGGTTCCCCATGTACACTGATGCATGACGAGACATATTGCTCCAGCTAGCTGTTAAAACATATTTTATTCTTTAACTGGGTTTTTTCACATTTCATTTTTAACAGGCGCAACTCTTCTACCGAAGCATTAAAAACAACAAATGTAATTGCTAAGTTATTCATAGATGTACTAGAAGTATTACTAAGCCATGGTAACTTAATGTAGTAGTAGGCCGGAAGTAACACGTCATTTATACTTGAGGTATTTTTCACATTTGCCTATATTTTTTGGAAGGCGTCTGTTTTTCGCAATCAAGTATGTAAATGTAAAATAAAAAGTTGCCATAACCCGTAGAAAACTAATGTTAATACCTGGCTGAAATAAGTGCAGAGCGGAGTGAGTGCTGAAGTCGTCCATACAGTCCAGTGACGCGATGGGTGCTCGGCATCTGAGTACCATATTCACACGTTAATTTTCTATATACGTACAATAATATGTTTTTAATTTACGTAACATCTTAAAATGACCCAACGATTAACAGTTATGCCCTTTTATTACTATTTACTGCCAAATTTTACATTACAAAAAATACTAATTTGCACCATACTAAATAGCTCAAAATCTTATGAATTAAACAACACAATCATGTTTTGTCTCCACTCAAGTAACTTTGTATATTCTTACTTTATATGAAATAGATTTATAAGAAAATCTGTTAAGGCCAGTCCGTTGACGAAGATCTATAAAAATTACATACCAAATTAAATTATATAAATTGTTCGACTTGCTAAGTACATACTTAATATCTACATGAAGTATTTATCCACAAAATCTATGTTCGAGCTACGTTGACAATGACAATTATAGCTAGATCTATAAAAGGCAGGAGAGGAAGGATTGTTGTGATAAACTTACCTTTACGCCGGCGTTGACATGAAAAGCAAAGCTTACAACAGTCTGATAGCTCATAAGAATAATGATATATATTAATCATTATTTCATAAATATACCCATGACAGAAAGTATATATTAAATGTTATACCGAAAATGATCCTGTTCAAGTTGGATTGTTGTTGCTTCGTTTTACCAGCCTTTCAAAACTGTGCAAGAAATGAATATGCTAATCATTTAACATCTCACTATATAATTAGCAAGTTGCGGGCGATCAGGGCGTTGTGTATAGATTTTTCGGTGACCTTGTTCTCCAGTAATCCGCCGTGATGGTCATGCGATGTCCTGTGGCAGTATGTGAAGTGGTGCTGGGACTATACAGGATCGTGCATTGCTGAGCTTGGATGACGTCCTGTCCTTCGATCGCCACGTCCGAGGGACGGTTCCAATCGAGGGACACGACGCTAGCGCTTGAGGCCCGGAATTAGGGGCGTGTTACCGGTATATGGTGGACATTGGGTTGGAGTCTACGCTGACGCTGTCCGGCGGACCGAAGGGTGTGTGCGGTGTGTGGCGGCTGACCGTAGACTCGCTGCGCGACATGGCGCTCTCTTTGCCCTCACGCTGATCCATCCTTCTCATACCTAACTCATCTGAAACAGACACTCCCACTCCCGACGACTGAAGGAAGGAACGTAGCGGGTTGAGTCAAGTAACTCCTAGGACTAACACGAGCCACACGATGATCTGAGTGCAGGGTCACTGTTGCTCCAATTTCGGTTCTCACCAGGGTACGCGACAAGTTCACGCACTGCGATCTAGCGTCTGCGCGGGAAAGGGTGGCGATTGCTGCAGCTATCTGCACGCAGTTCTAGTGTCTACTGCGCACGTCTACTTGCTATAACCTACGATTACACTAACGATTTCCTCACATAGGTAACTACAATTTCTAAACTCTTCTAATATTTCTTAAATTCCGACTATCGTTACTAATTTCTCTCAAAAATGAATTAATGATCCAATACGCTACAATTAGGTTCATATATACTATGCTTATAGGTTTTAGTTAAACAAATGTATTTGTAAGAAATACACCTTGTTGTATTAGGTTAACAGCACGTAACTTCCATATCGATTTCAACAACAGTAATGAATGTTTGATTCGGCACTTTATTAGAGATTTATACCTAATCATTAGTTTTGGTCCTACGGAATAACCCCGCGGGTTGATGGTAACAACAGAATTTACTAAAAATCGATATCATTATTATTATTTAATTCAAACTATTAAATTACAACAAGAAAAAAAGAAACTGAATACATTTCGAATTCTATCTATCAATAATACATGACAGGTTGCGGTGTAGTGAGTTCTCCATCCTGAGATTTAGTAATAATTTGGAACTGAGCCAATACGCAATGTTTCGCTTTTCGTAAAAATAACCCATACGTGATTTCCAGTATTCACGCCGAATAAACGTGTTTAAAAGACTGCCGCGATATTTTAGGATTTATTATTGTGGTAAATATTTTTATTTTCTTTAACTCCATCCTATACAAAAAATAATGTTATTATACGTAACATTCTTTTACGTTTTATATATATAACTAATGTAATATAATTTGTAGCCAACGGTCAAAGAACAATGGCTTAATTTAATTATTATACTTATGTAAGAAGTATTACCTGTTTGTTGTTAATTAGCAAAACGTAACTATGCGCTGTTTATCGCCAAATACATTTTTAGTTGTTGTACTTTTTGCGTAATTAGATATAAATAGAAATAAGACTTTTTATTTATTTAAAGTGAACCACAACCAGAGCGCATGTGCACAACTCGCTGGACCTGCGTACGCATAGCTGGGGCAGCCGTCGCCCTTTCTCCACAGACGGCCAACCGCAGTGCACGTATTCGTTGAGGGTTTAAGCGAGAGTGGATTCGAGAGCAGCAGTCAGCCAGTGGTTAGATCATCGTTAGTCCTATATATTAGATAGTTAGGCTACGCTTGCTTTTCTACGTGTGACTTAACCCGCTACGTCCTTTCCTTCAACCGTGAGAGTGTATGTTTCAGACGAGTTAGGTATGAAGAGAACGGAGCAGCGGCAGAACAAAGGAAACACCATGTCACGAAGCGAATCCACGGTCAGCCGCCGCACACCGCATACACCACTCGGTCTACCCGACAGTGTCAGCGTAGACTCCAACCCAATGCTCACCATATACCGGTAACGCCCTAGCCTCTGCGCCTAGCGTCGTGTCTCTCGATCAAAACTGTTTCTCGGACGATCGAAAGACAGACACAACCATGCTCAGCAATGCACGACACAGTAAAGTTCAGCGCCACTTCACTCGCTGTCACAGTCGACGTCGCATGATCCCCGCGGCGCATCTCTGGAGTGCTATCCATCGAGAGTGCTACGATATGCTATGCTCTGATGGCTTGCTTTAAGACGAATTATCAAATTGTCGTGAATATCCATAGAAAATACAAAAGCCGATTTGAACCTTCTCATAGTTCAATGGTATCGGATTTATGTCTTTTGTCTTTGACATTTTTCTATTACATTAGCCAGCCATCAGGTTGTAGCTAGCTTAGCTTTCATATCAGTGCCGTCGACGAGGTAAGTTATCATTAATATTACTTAAAACTTACCTTTCTTCCTGACTCCCGCATTTTATTTTTCACTCTCTATGCTTTGTGGAGTTATAGAATTTAATTAGAGAAATTGTATGTTGCAAATATTCCGTTCTATTTAATTTGTATTTGTGTATAATTTTGGTTCATATCGATACCGTGTAAGTATAAAATAACTAGCCACAGTAGAGTATTTTTAATCATATGGAATTTATTGTTGTGCTTGCAATTTAGAAAATAGTCGCAGTTGTTAAAATAGGGTAGTGTTTAAGCAGAAATTTAGAATAAGCTTTTTATTTTATAATAAATTAAGGATTCTTACGTTAGATAAAATAATAGTCTTAAAAACATATTAATGAAATATTTAATTTAGACTTTTGATTTTGGAACGTGATACGCAGATGCCGAGCACCCATCGCGTCACTGGACTGTATGGACGACTTTAGCACAAACTCTGCTCTGCATTTATTTCAACCAGGTATACATTAGCTCCAAGCTCTCGCTATCCTTTTTATGTTTTTCACTCAATTATTTGCAGTTATCATATATATAAATCAGTCGGTGTTTTTGGGAAGGATATGTTAAGAAGAACTTCCCTGTCAAAGCTCACTTGGCTTTGGGATTTACCACAATACATAACACATACAGCTGAGAAATGTATTAATATCCGTAAATTTATAGTGTTTATAATAAATTGATTATCCAATATTTTTGTAGCCAGTTGGGAGAATATGGCAAATCAGTCGTCAGTGTACATGGGGAACCACGCAAGTATGCCGTCATCCGTGACTCCAGGACTTCGTTACCAAAACATGGGCAAGTCAGGATTGCGAGTGCCCAACATCGGCCTCAGCCTGTGGATCTCTCATCTCAACGAAGATGTCGCTGAAGACCTCGTCATGACAGCTCTCGAGAGTGGAATCAATTTAATTGATTTATCTAAAGCTCATAACGGTAAGTCTTTTTAAAAAATTACTAATTAGATTCCACATGCATTTTAATAATGTCTGATATACCATAATGGTAGTTTTTAAACTTGACACTTTATTGACTAAACTAATAACCTTTAACGATTTTAGCACAGGGTGAAGCAGAATTGGGCAGAATACTGAAGAAAAGAAACGTTAATCGATCCAGTATTATTATTACAACCAAAATCTATTGGAGTACTAAGTGAGTTTTCTTGTTTATTAGAAATAAAAAAAATACCAGTAACCCTGGTATATATTTATTCTATAATTTAACGGTTATGTTCACATAGATACGTATATAAAAGTAAAACTTGTTTTTTATTTATAGGTGTGAAGAAAGAGGTCAATCTCGAAAACATATAATAGAAAGCGTGAAGGAGTCATTGGGGAGGCTCCAGCTAGAGTACATAGACTTAGTTCTTGTACATAAAGTGGATCCAGTATGTCCGATGGAAGGTAGGACCCTGCATTCTATATAATTAAACTCTTAATACTAAGTATTGTCTCAATGTTATAAATTGCTTACTGCAGAATTGGTCCGAACAATGGACTACCTCATAAACCAAGGATATGCGATGTATTGGGGCACAGCGCGCTGGACTCCAACCGAGGTAAAATGTACTTTTTGCCTTATATCAAAATGTATAATGTAGTTAAATATATTTTAATAATACAATAAAATGGATTTCATAGATTATGGACGCGTTCTCTAAGTGTCGATTGTTCAATTGCTGTCCGCCGGTCGTCGAGCAGACAGAGTACCATATGTTCTGTCGTGAAAAGACCGAACTGTATATGCCAGAAGTGTATCATAAAATTGGAGTGGGTCAGTATATTAATTTTAGTATTGTAGGTACCCATGATCGATCGTAATCATTGTCTTTGTATGCAGGAACTATGGTGTGGTCTGCACTAACTACTGATAAGGGTCTGAACCATGACGAGGTGGCAGGGTTATTTGCCAAATCTCGCTTCAACCGCAAATACAGCACATTCAGCTGGTGGGAGGAGGAACTCGTTGCTAACAATGTAACTAAAGCATTCATTAAACATCCTTTACATAATATATTTTAAATAAAATAAGCTTAAATAAGGTGTTTTTATAGGAACTCGAAAACAATGAATCTACAGTAGCCGAAGAGTCACGAAGTTTCAAGGACAAACTGAAAGCTCTCTCCGACCTAGCCAATGCCATGAGCGAGTATAATTTATGATTCGCTATAATTCTAAAATCGAGTTATTAATATTTACGCCTGTCTCATTGTGTTTTCAGATTGCTCGATAAGGCAGTTGTCGGTGGCGTGGTGTCTTAAAAATGAAAATATAAACTGCTTACTTCTAGGCGCTACAAGTGTCGAACAATTCAAAGAAAATATACACGCACTGCAGGTATCTTATTTAGGAGGCAATTTTTACATTACAGAGGAATCCATCGTAATCGTAAAAATACGTAATCAAGTAATATGTGGTTTTAATTGTTGGTTGCGGACAAAAACTTTCCATCATTTTTATTTTCTCAAATAAACAGTTAATGAGTCATTTAATTCGATTTCACAGATCGTGCCTCAATTGTCTCCGGCGGTGATTTTGGACATCGAAAAAATTCTGGCAAACAAACCTCAGCGACCCCCGATGATCTCAACTCTGATGATGCGAAACCAACAGAACGCCAGACCAGACGCTGTGTAAGTTAGTTCATTTAGCACTGAAGTTTTAATATGGATCTTTGCATTCTAAGGTTCTGTTTAACGAAACTTTTGTACGGTCAGTGATGGCACAGAGACGCCGAAAGAAGATGACGTGGAAGCCAACGTTTCAACCCCCGAGAAGGAGGAAGTAGTCAGGGGTGCGTTTCAATGACGTTGGTGGAAACGAAGCTCTGACACGGCTTCCAAGTCCAGTAAATCTAAGGTCAGGTTCAAACTGAATTTTACAACAGTAAAAGAAAAATCATTGTATAACACAGTCTTGTCCTTTATTTTACTTAGGACTCGCTGCTAAAAGACTCAAAACCAAAGTTCTTTTTGAACAATGCTGGCGCGGTGATACGGCGCGTTGAACATGATGGCGTGACGTCCGATACAGTAGTATCTGTATCTTCTCTGAAGGGCAAACAACCAGCATCAGGAGGCAGCAAGGGTAAGAAGTCTAAGTCGGAATCCTCCCAGTCACGTTCTGGCTCGCTGCAGCGCTCCACGTCAGGGCAATCGGCGAGCTCCCGAGACCGTAAAATGTCTAGGTTCAATCTGGGATCACCTGCTGATGTATAAAGTATGAAACAACATGAGGGTCATGAATCTTTGTAATTTTTTCACTCAAGGACAAAAACTGACATCGTTTATCACAAATTAGTTAGAGGTAGCACTATATAGAAGTCAATATTAATATGACTTTAGTCTATTTAACATATTAGTGTTTTATCTTTTATCCTACCTGTTATGTAACCTACCTAATTATGTATAAGTATATTTTGCGGAAGTAATGCATTTAGTATGTGTATGTAGCGCACTGTGTATATATATTTTTTTAGAAAGTTCTAGACAACACTTTCACTTAATATTATGGTATAAAGTGTCTATTTTAGCTATATTAAGGTCAAATAAACCTTTGCGCACTGTCTCACATATCAATTGTTATAACAATGTGATTGGAAATATAAATTTAATAGTCAAGCTAAATGAAAGAGATAATTGGCAGATTTAATTTTAGTTCGCTTACCATACCATACGCTCTGTTGTTTGACTAAACTAAATAATTCAATCAGCCAAATGTATAATCAAATAATCAAAATGTATGTATATAATATAGTGTTAACCAATTCAAATGTTTTTATTTGTATACCTACTGCATATATATTTTTACTGTCTCTAAGCTTTAGAATAGCCCTGCTTGCGACAATTTGTTTTGCAATTTTAAATTAATTAACTCCGAAAGTGATGAATTTGCGTTGCGAATAAAGTGTATTTAATTTATGTTATTATCTATTGCAATTGTATAGACATTTAAAATTACCACCAATACTACAGAGTTATTTTTATTATTTAGGTATTAAATTTAGTAAATCTTCGTAGCGTCGAAAACAAAAATGTATTATTATAAAAACACTTTTTTTTCTTTATAAATGGGTTTTATTTGTGCCAACTGGGCACAAGATACTTATTTCGCCATTGTCGTGTAGATGGAGAAGGCACGAAGGAAAATAAAAATAAAAAAACGTTGAAATTCGATTGTTAGTTTTAAGACAGCATAGACAACACAAATATGAGTAATAACATTATTAAATACCTACTATTTCCTATTTACGAATAATTTATATATATATAATTTATATATTATATATATATATATATATATATATATATATATTATACTTTAATTTTATTGCTTTCTATATACCTATTTACATAAAAATCTACAATATGTACTAAACACAAACATTAACAAACATTTAACACTTAAAGGACGGGGGACTTTAGGGGGAAGAACTAGAGAGGATAGGTTAGTTTGGGACAATTAAATATAATGTGAGATACAGTGCCTTCATCCAAGCCACACTCACAGATAGAGTGATCCCTTATCCGGAGCTTGGCTAGATGGACAGGGGTGCAAGCATGACCAAGACGCAGACGATAGATTGTGGATGTAATCCAGCGATTTGCATTCCGAGTGTGACAAAACCAGGGTTGTCTTGGTATGCTTCGTTGGATGGAAGCATAAAACTTGCCCTTAACCGATTTGGAGTCATTCCAAAATGTCTTCCAGGTTCTGTACATATATGTCTTTGCAAGAGCACAAAGATCCTGTGCTGAATATTTAAAATGATCTAGAGAACCTGACTCAACAGCTGATTTGGCACATGAATCAGCAGTCTCGTTTCCAGGGATACCTGAGTGGCTAGGAATCCAAACTAGTATGATAGACAATCCTTTTTGACTACAAGAGAGCAGAGTCTCCCTGATTTTTAGTATAATGGGAAAACGTGATTTGCTGCGAAATGGGTTTTCTTTAATGGACATTTAACAACTTAAAGAGTCTGTCAAAATAGCTGTTTGTTGTATGTTATGGGAGTGTGCAAACAGGATTGCTTCCAATAGAGCAGTGGCCTCTCCTGTGAACACTGATGACTCAGGAGGACATTTAAATTTCATAAAAACACTTTAGAACCTTACATTTGGTTAGTAATTACTCAAAAAGGTTACTAGACAATGACATAATTATGTCGAGTGGTCAAAGCTAGATGCTGCTTTACACAATCGTTGTTGCTAAGCAATGTGACGAGAGGGCGCTATTAGAAGCAATATTTTTGGCTTAGAATCACATAAGTGGAGATAAAGTTTTTATTTTATTTAATATATTATAGCTACTTCTACTACAAGTACATATTCTCTAAAATCAATTTATTTTTTTAATGCACTAGCAGAAGTTCCAGAACCAAATAGCAAATATGGAACCTTTAAGAGTTTCGAAAGTTGGTAAGTATAAATCTGAACGAGGCTGGGGCCCTAGGGCACACAAGAATTTGGGGCCTTTTTGGAAAGTTAAAAACGAATTATAATAAAAAAGAAATTACTAGTCTGGCTAATGAAAGATAACGAAAAACCGCGGTAAATTAAAAAAAAAATAGTTTGGTATCCCTAAAAGTTTGATATTTTAAAAAAAATAGTTTGGTATCCCTAAAAGTTTGATATTTTTTGCGGATTAAACTTACTTGATACTTATTTTATTTTATTATTTTTTACATTGATAGTAACTGTATTTCTATGAAATTAAATACTATACGTATGTAGTCTTTTACTATTGATACTTAAAATGACTAGCATTGCATGGAAAACTAAAACTATATTTATTATAAAACACAACTTTATTCGGAATAATCAAAATCAGAATCCAAAAAATCTATATGCATAGATTCATCAGTCATTGATGTTATCACTATCTCTCACATTATTTATGAAACTTTCTAAATGTTCCTCTGTAGTCCTGTCCCTTTCTTTATATATTTTTTTCCACATGTACTCGTATAACATGATCAGTCATTTTCTTCCACTCTTCTGCTGTTACATTTTCAAATGACTCTTTAATCACTTATTCTAACTGCTCTGTAGTCAATTTAATATTTTTATTTGCTACTCTGCATTTTGCCAGACTCTATACCAGCTCAATGGCATTTAGATCACAATGGTATGGAGGTAGTCTCAATACCTCATGACCATGAAGTATCATGATATCTCCAACATGCTTTAAAATTTCATCGGCTTCATATATTGGCTCTGGTTTATACCGTTTTACTAGACATAGCGGTTCTGCTTTCGTATGGTACTCCTCAAATTGAACATTTTTCAAAGTAAGCCATTCTCTTATCTTATGTTTGCGATTCTGTGTCGTAGGAGCTTTATTGACTATAACAGAATGGTAACTGTTGTTGTCCATAACAAGTTATTGGCTCATTTAAATTGGGTAGGAGCTTTTCTTCTAACCACTTATTGAAGTTGGCAGCATTCATATCATGCTGATAATCAGCCATTTTTGATTTAGTGCCAAATACTAATAATGAGTTCGGCACAGGACCTTTCTCCGACCCTGCTTCTACAATTGTGTACCTTTTTCCAGATGAAATATTTTCAATAGCACCACTTGTAGAGGGACCTTGCCACGATTTTTTGGGCTTGTAGTTTTTATGTACATAAGTTTCATCGAAATGAATTATTGGCTTTCTTTTTGCACATTTCAACGATATAGATCTTAAATAGTAATGTCTCCAGGCAGATATGTCATTGCGCTCAATTAACAAAGAACATTCATTTTTGTTTTTCTTAAATTCCTTTTCTTAATTCCAGCAAGTGTTCCCAATGTTAGAACTTTTTTTATAACAATATAAAATTCATTAATGAGGTCGTTTTTTTCCAGGTGACTCCAGACACCTTGATTTGTTGCCCCTTCCTTTTTTATTCTGTGTATTGATATTACACTTACACCTGGAAAAAACTATGAAAAGGTTATTACCACACAATTTTTTTTTCAAATTTACTTGTAAAGTATTTTTTTTTTTTACCAGTGATGGAAGCAATTTCTTTAAAGTACTGGTTATGGGATTTTATTCTATCATTCTGCTCTAAATCAGTGAGCTTACCAATAGTTCTCACTATTGCATCAACTTCTACATCCTCCAGATTTCCTGCGAAAGAAACGAAATATTCTATGTTATTAAAAAAAAATAGGTTATTATACCTGTTAACTATTCGGAAAAAATATATAATAGAAATAAAAATGAGTAATTGCATGAAGTATCTAGACAATAAATCATTCTAACCTAAGAAATTATTTCAGTCATTTTCTTCTTGTTTTGCTTGGAATTTGGATATCATGCAGAACAATATCTCTCGAATTCCACTTTTAATAGTTTTACTCATATTTAAACACGTAAATGAATAAATAAGAACAAAATAAACCAAAACGAATGTTTGACAACAGCCATATTCAGAAATTGACAATGACATTCTGTGCGGCCATCCGAAAGTTTTCAAATAGTTCAATTATCTTCTTTCACTAGCCAGACTATATCGGTTAAATTGCAATTCACCAGCAATACATTTATTTAATGTTTTCTTTTACATAAGTTACATTTTTACTATAACAAACAAAAACTTATTTTTATTTATGTATATCTTACTTTAGGTACTGTAATTTATCTAATATGAGAAATAAATATATTATGTAGATAAATCATTTCATTCTTGTTCCAAAAACGTAAGAATACTTTAATGGTTGGTTAGCATATGTGTTTTTATAACAGTCATTTTAAAGAGACTTCGTGATGCAAGCTATAAAATAATATTTCGTCTATTATTCGTTTAGAGTTTATTTCTGTAATTTATCTCAAAATTAAAGTTGAATAATTTTAATCCTTCGTTAGGTATAGTGGTATTTCGTACACTACTTTATTTTATACAGATTTTGTTAAATTTTCTCCTTTTACTTATAGACCACAAGCCCATGAACAAAAAATACCTGTGAAATGACCCAACGTGAATTACGCTTAGAAGGCTGTTACTATATCTGAAAATAGCTCTGAGCACTATGCCGTCATTTCTCAGCGGTACATGTGAGTACGTGAGTGAATGGACTTTCTCAGGTACAATTGGGGAATTTCGACAAATTATTAATGTACGGCTTTGTTATAAGTGTATAGATGATTAAAAATAAATGTCGAAAAACCTAGTGCCGTACTAAAGTGATGGTGCCGGAAGTCGGTGCAAATTTTTAATTCGACGACAGTTGCAGAAGCAATATAGGTCATTTATTACTGTACGGCATTTGTGTGATTCCTTTTGGACACATATACAGATACTTTACCCGTAAACGCCGTACATATTTCCAGCGGAGCGGTCGAAAGCCAAGGGTTGGAACCCTACCCCTACACCCATATTATACCCTAAGGTCATTGTAAAATGTACGGCAACATGTTCAAAATATTATTTAACACGGACAATAATGTTTTATAATTATGCCGTCCAAAACTTATAGTTAATATTTGTGTAAATAAATATTTATCGAAATTTCAGGATTTACCAAGTTATTACTTCAGTAAGATCAGAGAATAATGTATGGCAACTTGTTTTTTTACATAATGTTACTAAATATTACCGTTGTACCTTATAGCCGTTCATTATAAATGGTAACAAATAAAAATATTATGATAAAAAATATATGAAATTTCCGAAATTTAGATGACTTTTCAAATGCTCCTAGAGTAATATGGGGAGTAATATTTTCAAAGATTATTGTTATTTTATATGTAACAAATATTAATAAACAAAAAAAACCAGATGCCGTACATTTTACTTCAGATTATTCTTTACAGCTGATAAAAACTTCGACGACGTTTGAGGTGTCCCTTAAGGTCATTAATAACTGTACGTATCTGAGTATACTACCATAAGGCTGTAAAGTATATTTACAGCCTTATCGTACCAGCAGAGAGAGGTAAAAGAAAAATATTTTTAACAAAAATAAAAATTAAAACAGGGCGTCCCAAAGTTATGGGACATGAAGGGAAAGTACCTTAAATATCGTAGATAGGGCATTTTACTAAAAGAAGACTTTATGTTATTTTTAAAAGTTAGTAATTCTGCATTCAAAGATTTTTTTAAAATTACTTGCCTCGTCTGGAAATCGAACCGGCTTAAATTAAAAAAAAAAACACCCCTACTTTTATGATGCCAATCGAAAGAATGGCTAAAACCTAATAACTTTTCTAAAGTAACAGACTCGTAGGGGATTTTTTTAGGCCAAATACGATAGATAATGTTTTTAATTTGATTAAAAAGATATATTCACGCTGTTCCTTTCTTTTAAAATACTATGTTACTTAAGAAGAGTTATTAGTTTTCGGTCATTCTTTCGATTGGCATCATAAAAGTAGGGGTGTTTTTTTTTACATTTAAGTCGGTTCGATTTCCAGACGAGGCAAGTAATTTTTTTTAAAAATCTTTGGATGCCGAATTACTAACTTTTAAAAATAACATAAAGTCTTCTTTTAGTAAAATACCCTATCTACGATATTTAAGGTACTTTCCCTTCATTTCCCATAACTTTGGGACGCCCAGTATTGGTAGGCGGTGGTATAATCTGCCATTTCACAGACTAGCGGACTATCGAAAGTGTACGGCATTTATCTTTTATTAAAGATTGTCTAAAGTATTAATAACCTGTGTTATTGCCGTACAGATAAAAGTCACCGGAAAATGACTCTTTTCTGAGGAAAGTAATTTACTTCATACACCTATGTGTTCCACAAAAAATGTACGGCATGCTGGAAAATGTTACCTATTTGTGAAGTACTCTTAAGATCATTTAATTTTATGTTGTTCTATATCATCATCACCTATATGCTAATCAGACATATGTTGCGACCCTTGGCTTTCGACCGCTCCGCTGGAAATATGTACGGCGTTTACGGGTAAAGTATCTGTATATGTGTCCGAAAGGAATCACACAAATGCCGTACAGTAATAAATGACCTATATTGCTTCTGCAACTGTCGTCGAATTAAAAATTTGCACCGACTTCCGGCACCATCACTTTAGTACGGCACTAGGTTTTTCGACATTTATTTTTAATCATCTATACACTTATAACAAAGCCGTACATTAATAGTTAGTCGAAATTCCCCAATTGTACCTGAGAAAGTCCATTCACTCACGTACTCACATGTACCGCTCAGAAATGACGGCATAGTGCTCAGAGCTATTTTCAGATATAGTAACAGCCTTCTAAGCGTAATTCACGTTGGGTCATTTCACAGGTATTTTTTGTTCATGGGCTTGTGGTCTATTAATACCAAAGATATCGCCATGACATAACGTTGAAAGAATCAAGATTGGTTTTATTAAAATCAATTTTTTTTTTGGTAATTTTTAAAGAAAAGACTGATAGTAAACCAAACTATCCACTTTGGCTACTGCCAGCGTACACATCATTTTAATTTTGTATTTGAAATTGTTTAGATGCCTCATCGCTGTCAGTACAATGTCTATGAGCTATCTCTAAGGGGACTATAATAATTATGTACATTTAACTAGTGAATTTATTCCGTGCATCACAAATTTTGTTGTCTGTGGTGAATGTTTTCGATTGCAACAGTTTCACAGAATATGTAATTTTATATTTTGCGGTATAATTTGAATTTTATCGGCAAAATTCTTATCAATGTCCGATTTGTTGTTAATGACATAATTAAATTGAGACGTGGATTTAAATACGCGTATATTTGACAATGAACACTTCGTTTAACCGCGCAGTTTAAAATAGTGCATTAATCGAGGAGCGTCCACTCTGAACAAAATATTAAATTAATTCGTGGTGTACGGCACGACTGACACCATGAGTGTAAGTAAAGATCTATTTAAATTATATTATAATGATGTCTTTTTTGTATTTAACACCCATTTCTTTTACATATTTGTGGCTAGTTGCGAAATTGTTGTTAGACCAGATGTTTTCAACAATTATATCCTTAGACGTAATTGTTACGGCTGAACCTAAATTAAAATGATTACACGATTTGTACGGCTATGCCTGACAAGAATTGGCTCCGGCATATTAGTACGGCTCCGGCTATAGCTAACTCTCCGAAGGGATGCGGAATTGCATTAAACGCAAGAATGTACTTTTGTTGTGTTCGTCTAATCTAATATAAATATAAAATAATAAAAAAATATTTAATAATAATAATAATTTAGAGCGTGTCGTATTTTTTGAAGTCGGTTCTAAATTGACTACTGCTACCAATTGAATTTATCCGAAGCCCGTGTGACTAGTGGAAGTGAATCAATTATTCTATAAAACTGGTTTAGTTTCAGAAGGACATAAAACTGTAATCTCGTTGGTGTGTATTTATAATATTTATGACACGTACTCTGGTCATATGT